TTATCCTTCTAAGCTATGGAAAGGCCAGAATTTAGAGAGCTTATCTAACTACTAAAGCCTAATGTGCTAACTCCTTTAAGGTATTTTTATTAGAATATACTTAGCTTAATAATATACCAAGCTCTTAGCTAGATATAGAAAGTAATACTACTTAAGTAAAAGTCTACTCTATAGATAGATTACTAGTCTAGTATAAATAGTCTTAGTTTTATTACTGTGGTAGTGAGTTTTATAATAGATAACTTTATTATCTATAATATTCTTATATACTTCTAGTCTCTCACTAAAGCCCATACTAGGTTAAATTTAGGGGAGGAGTGTATTATAGCCCTTAATAAGATTAGGTAATTACTAAACCTAACAGCTATTACTATAGATAATATAGTAAATAATAATAGTATCTAGACTTATATTACTAGTACTTCTATTTTATATAGAATTAACCTAGCCTAGAATCCTAAATAGGGTACTATCTACTGCTTTACTTATATTATCTATCTCTCTATATAAGCCTTTCTTAGTATGCTTAAGGTACCATTACATAAGCTATATAAGGTAAAGTATCTTAATAAGAAATATCTATTAAGTATTTATTATACATCTAATAATTATACTGCTATTCTTAAGAAGGTAATATTTTACTATTCTTATTTCTTAATTAATACTTACTATTATCTCTCTATCAGCTCTGCGCCCTAGTATAGGCTGTAAACTCATTAGTCTAGTAGAAGTAAGAGTTCTTAAAGCTTTAAGATCTAGCTAAGTAAGAGTTCTATAAGTAAGAGGCACCAGCCACTCTTAAATATATTATATTAATTATTAATATAAAAATACACTAGTTAAGCACATTTAATATGGTACAGAGGGAATGGGAAATGAGAGATACTATTAAATAGTGGTTAAATAGCTCTAAAATACTAAAGAAGTTCTAATAGTTAGCTATAATACCTAAGGAGTAGAAAAAGGTTAAGGTCCTTCTAGGTATCTTATAACCTTTTACTATCCTAACTATAAATATCTATAGGTAGGAAGAGCTAACTATTAATCTTATATTTCTATACTATAATCACCTCTTTAACTGCCTGGATAACTAGCTTAATATTTATAACTTACCTATAGAGCCCCTTAATACCACTCTTAAAGCTATATATAAAAAGTTAGCATATTATTACTTATAAATAGAGGATAATAATCATACTCTTTACTATAATCTTACTACTCTACTTAATCCCTACCTTAAGCTATTAATCTATATAGGCTCAGTATGCTTCCCTTTCTCTATTATATAGACTTTACTAATAGTGGCTTCTTATATCTAGGATTAGGATCTATATAGGGAATGCTATTAACAGCAGTTTCTAGAATACTATAATACTTATTACTAATAGTATAAGAAGAATTTCTAGCCCTAAAAATCCTTAAGCACCTCCTCTAGTCTGTTATATATATCTTAGAGGGTAAAGGGGAAGCAGTCTACCTAATTAGTAGAGATATAAGTATATTAGTATCTATAGGTAGATACTCTTAGTAAGCACCTACCACTTAATTAGGTATAGAAGTTAGTTAAGAATAACTTCCTAGTGGTTATTATAATAGTAAAGGATATTCTCTTAATTTAAGGTATAGAGATTAGTCCTAAGTACTTTTTTTCTATAGTATATGACTTCCTCTCTTACTGTTATAATTATCTCTCTAGTAAAACTATTAAAAGTACTATAATTATTTAGACATGGCTGGCTTAGTATTAGAAATTTAGCTATTCTATAGATAACCCCCCACTATAGCTATATAATTTAGTATAAGCTGATAAAGAGTCTCTATCTTCTAAGTAGGAAGATCCTTAGACTAATATTAAAGATAGTAAGTCTGACTTATAAGGTACTGCTAAGACTAAATTAGATAAGCTTAAGGCTAAGAATTATAATCTTATAGAACCACTAACTATATATTCTATACTTTTACTAAGGAAGAAGTAATAAATATTATATCTTTCTATACCTTAATCTTATCCCTAGTTAAGATCTCTTCACCCTTTAACCCCTTAAATACCTTATGGTAGCTCCCTACTTTCTATTATTATATTATCTCTAAAGGATAATGTAACCCCTATATATTAATATTTTTAGATTCTTTTATTAATTTTTCTTTATCTTCCTATCTCTACTCTACCTCTATACTTAATATATATTATATCTATACTTAATTTTATATAATATTTTCCTCTATATATAATTAAGTATATAGCCTATCTAATAGAGCCTTCATTAACCTACCTATACTATATAAATAGAAACTTAGAAATATAAAAGTTTTATGCATCATGCATTATATAATTATATACTTATAATTCTTTATATTAGGTATCTAGCTTAGTTAGTATTAGAATACTGTCTTAGTCTGTATTACACTAGTCTATTTTAGGATAAATGAGTTAAACTTATAAGTAATAAGTAGAGTTTAAGTAATAAGGTAAGTTTAAGTTTAGATTTAGGACTTATCTTAGTATATGAGTAAAACTCATAAGTTTTAAGTAATGAGTTTAAGTCCTACCTTCTAACTCAACTCATGAGTCAAGTCCTAAATCTCTACTCAAACTCGACTCATGTGACACACTAGCTATAAGATAGGATACTTAGCTAAAGGGCCTATATAGTAAAGGTAATCTAGCTAAAGAGAAGATCTTTAAATTATAAATTAATCTTTTAAATACCTTCCTAAGCCTATTAGCTATAATAGGTAATTAACTAGCTTAGATCCTTTTAAAGAATCCCTAATTAATCTATAATAATTAAGATAGTCTATTAAAGCTAGATCTCCTAGGGTATCTCTATATAGAGTAGTAATACCTTTAACTACCTATTAAACTCCTGGTAATTATCTTATATAAAGATAGGGTCCCCCTATATTAGGTAATTAGGAAATAGTTATTAAAGAATAACTAAATCCTATAGAAGAATTATATAAAGCTAATCTAAGAGTTTAAGGAATCCTTATATAATTATATTATCCTAGTTCTTATACTCCTTCTTATTTATACCTAGAGGGCTGCTAGAGCTCTATATACTAAACTAGGTAAGCTATTAATTAACCTAAGGCTAGAGAGCTCTTCTTAAGGATTCTAATAGTATTATCTTAGCCTAGGGGAGGTAGTAATTCTCTATAGCTTTAGATAATAATCCTACTATTATATAAAGGAATTTCTAGGGTAGATAGCTTAGATAGTAGTTAGTTAATATATCTTAATTCTAGTAGCTAGCCTAGTATATTCAACTCTCTTAAACTCTATTTAATTTAGCCTATTTTACCCCCTAGGATTATCTAAGATAGGTCTTTTTTAATAATATAAGGCTAATAGAGTTAAAGACTTTAGTAATCTACTTTAGCTAGATCTTATATAAGAGAGGCTTTATACTATCTCTCCCTTTAAAAAGATAGAGGTTATACTACTACTAGTAGTTTTAAAACTAGGGGATAGGCTCCTATATAATCTACTAATAGAAAAAGAGATAAAAGGTAGTCTAGCTTATTATATAAAGTAAGGGATCCTAATAGTATATTACTCCTATATATTCTAAGTAGCTAAATTAGTTTATTTTCCTATTATTTATAATAATAATTATTAGCTAGTAGGGTATTAGGCCTTTATTTTATAAAGGTAGAGTAAATAGATTAGATAGCTTAAGCTACTAATATAATTCCCTATAAAGTAGTATATTATAGCTAAAGAGAAAATCTATAGCTATATAAAGGTAGCTCTCCTAGATATCTAGCTTTTAGAACTTTATATCCTTCTCTCTCTAGCCCTACTAATAATATTATATAAAGTCCCTTATTATATCTATTAAATAACTATCTTATATTATACTAACTGTATAGTTAAGGTATACCTTATATTTATACTTATTCTTATTCTATAGCTAATTCTAGAGGAGAGTAAAGACTATATATCCCTAAGGATTCTTAGTATTATTTATACTAAGGGTCTTTTAAAATAATTATAAGTTAACTATAGTATTAATATACTACTAAATACTTTTAAAGCCTAGAGTCTACTTTATTAATAGACTATCTAGCTCTATATAACTCTTCTAGTTCTATAATAATAAATAGACTAAATAATATAGGTCCTTAGTCTTAAGAAATATTATTAGCTTCTTCTATATAACTAGGATACTATTAGGGAATATATTTTTATAGTAGAATCTCTATATTATACTTAATTATATAGAAAAAGAAAGGGATAGAGTAGTTATATATACCTCCTACTCTTACTACTTACTAATATATACCCTCTTTATATTTAATAGCTACTAGCTTTATATACTATAGAGTACCTACTAGTTATATAAGTTAAGCTAGTTTTATAGGCTAATCTACTATAATTCCTACTTGTTTATTCTTTCTAAAGTAATACCCTATATATCCCTAAGAGTAGATAGAGTAGATATTTATTTAAAAATAAATATATTTTACTAACTAAGGTTAAGGTAGTTAATTAATATTAAGAAAAGAAGAAAGGTAAGATAGAATATCTAGGGAGAAGGGAGATATAACTATATAGAGTATATATTATCTATATTCTAGCTAGCTAGGAGAGAGCTACCTTTACTACTATCTACCTTAACTAGATCCCTTTACTAGTCACTATCTATATAGTTTAATATAGGGGTCAGGGATTACTACTAAGATTTTAGGGGCAAATTTATAGTTAAAATATATTAGATATCTAGGGGTCAAATAGGTAGGCAGGGGTCAGATATGTGGTGTATCAGGGGGTGGGCGGGATTTCGCGTGAGATTTCGTGGGCTATGATATATGCTTGTACGCTATGGCAGATGCTTGGCACTCTCCTAGCTTTGACATGCCAATACTTCTCCAGTCTCACCTAGCAGAAGAACCCTTTCAGCAAAAAAACAACCACAACTTCAATCGATCAATCCCTTGTGGTCTCCAGTGCTGTATCTGATAATAATTCAATTGGAATTGCCCATATTTTCACCATGCTCTTGCCCCGACTATCTCTCTCCTCTCTCCTCTTCTCTCTCCTCGCAGCCACTACCGCAACAGCTTCCTCTTCCTCCCTCACCATCACTATCCCGCCATCCAACATTCTCCCCAACCCAAACGCCCTCCTCGCTGGCACCCATGCGACCCTCACGTCCCTCCCTTCCTCAGATCAGGAGAAGCATAATCATCCCCTGACCGCTCCGCTCACCCGATCCGCGACCTTCGTCTTCCGCCATCTCCCTTCGAAACTCGCCCAGCCCGAGTCCTACTTGCTAGATATTCGGTCAGCAGAGTACGTCTTCGCCCCATATCGCGTCGATATCTCGGCGGAGGGTATCGTGCTGGGTGTATGGGAGACTTTCCGGGGGAATACATGGGAGAATCGCGGGGCGGAGAAGTTTGTTGTCGACGTTGCAGCCAAGAAGAAGTCGACAGATGTAACAGTAGAAGCCAAAGTGCTGGCCAGACGGGGGTTCTATGAGGAACGAGCTAAATGTGAGACCCGTGCACCCCCCCCCCCCCCCCCCCCCCCCCCCCTCCCCCCCCCCCCCCCCCCCCCCCCCCCCCCTTTCTTGCACGACCGAATTGCCAGCTTCGCATTGTGACGGATGCTAACGAGAATAATGGTGGATTCATAGTCTCACCCCTTTCGTTGTTTAAAAACCCGATGATTTTGCTTGCTGTTGTGGCTCTGGGATTCACTTTCGGGATGCCAAAACTCATGGAAAATAGTATGTTTACTTTGATATCTAGAGGAAAATCGTCGTCTAATCTAGGTTCTTTTCCCTCTAGTGGATCCTGAATTCCGCGAGGAATTCGAGAAGCAGTCTCGCTCATCCCCAATTTCTGGCGCAAGCCGACAGGCCATGGGTGGCGGGGGTGCTGCAAACTTCGACCTAGCCGGATGGATGGCTGGTACAGCAGCACCCGGGCCAGTAGCAAGTGCAGATGCGCCTGCCCAAAGTGCAGCAAGTGGCAGGGAAAGCAGTGGTGCCACACGGAGAAGGGGTTAGATATGGCAGTTTTCAAAATACACATCACCAGGAACCGCTTATACATTAAGAATATGCCTTGAATTAATCCACACAACATATCGCGCAGAGTTCCAAGAAAAGACCCAAGACACAATTATGAACATCCATAATGGAAAGCCACAAGATATATAAGATATGGCCACACAAGTCTCATCCAGAGCTGAAGTCGTGGTAAGCCATAACGCATAAATCAATTAACAGATAAAGCAACCAAAGGTCCTTTCATATCCCTCAATAATACTACCACCCACTTCCACACTAGAAGTCACCACCACCAAAATCATCAAATCCACCGTCATCGTACCCACCATCATCGGGTGGCGGACCGTCATAGTCATGGTGATCACCAAAGTCTTCAGCCGCGTCTGCTAGCAGCATACCGCCTAGGAGACCACCGCCGACACCCAGTGCTGCAGCTCCTGCGGTTCCCATGCCATGTTTTCTTTGCGGCTGTTGTTGTTGTGCTGCACCATAGTAACCACCCTGGGCTGGGTACCCGGAATACCCATATCCTCCTGCTTGGGGCGAAGGGTAACCACCATAGCCTGGTTGGTAGCCATATTGTTGTGGTTGTGGCGGTGGCAGTGGCGGTCTGCCATAGCCTGCGTTACTGTTGCTCGAATGCTTGCCCATCAGCCTGCCTAATAGGCCTCTGCTACCACGCTGCTGCTGGTCTGGTTGAGGGTTTTGTGATACCGGCCTCTGTGGCGATAAATACCCCCCTGGCTGCGGCCCGGGACTTCCACTATAATATTCCGCGTTTGCACCGCGATTGGCAGGACTATGTCGGCCAGACCGGACGTCTTCCTCCGCCTGTAGTTGCGCTGCTAGCCGGGCGTCGCTTTCAATAGTATCTTCGACACGGGTCTGATTGTACGGATTATTTGAGCCCATAGCTTTCTTGTCACCAGATCCAACAAATGCAGATGAATTGACTGGTCCAGATTCGGTGTATGATGGTGGTGGTGCACTGGGTGGTTCATGGGCTTGCTGAGCTAGTCCCTCGGGACGTTCCCATTGTGATTTACCAGTGCGCAAGTTTATAAAGAACCTTTTTTTCAGAATAGTCAGTACTTGCTTGTGGTTATTTCTTCATATACGAACGGGAACAAGACTTCACTTACCATTGATTATATCGGTCATCAAATTGGGCCTTCCACCCTTCCGGAACGGAGGGCGGCGGAGGGCCAGGAGGCGGGGCAAATGACATCGGTGATTGGGTAAATCCTTGCAGAGGAAAGGGAAAAAAAATAAAGAGGGAAGGTTGCGTGATCAGGCAGGCTTCTTGATGAAATTTGATGATCTTGAAGCTGAAAAGATAATACGAAAAGGGAAAAGAAGAATGCCTCTGCCTAAGAAACACTGAATATATACTAACCGGTATGCATCTACCTGTCTAGTATCTAACCATAATCAAGATACATAGTCCCAATCGTAATGGTGGCGTAAATTATGGGTGAGTGCAGTGCCCCCATGGCGGTGCATGAACCACTCGATGTGATTGGCTCAATTTCTCGGATAGTCGGCATTCGAGCCACAGCAGACGGTTTTATTAATGACGTCATTGGATGGATCAAAAGAGAATCTGAATAGCCATCTTTCTTAGTCCTTACTATCATTACTAAGGTACGGAGAACCTAGAAATCTTCTAAGTTGCTATTTTTATTAGGGTGTTTAGGGTAGGATTAGGGTTTGTTAGACTCCATAGATGGGGGAAAAAATGGTATAGGTTAGAGATGAGGGACGAGGGTGAAATTTACTTAGCATCAAGTATAATCTCATCTCGCCAGTTGGCAGGTTGTTATGGTTTCAGTGTCAGCATGATAGCATCCCACGATAGAATATTTTGTATTTTGCAAATTGTATCTGGTGTACTATTACATGGAATTTGCTATTCATGCATTATACAGTAACAATACTAATTACTACCCTAACCTGGCTAAGCCAATTGTCAGTGTGCAAGATATTGTTATATTGCTACCTCTTCCTTCAAAGTTGATTGATAAAAGATTAAATTTAAAGCCATTATAATAGCCATTTCCCATCAATCTGTGACTGCTTGCTACTTACAAGGCGGTGCTCTGCTGACATCCACTGCCCGAAATTCACGTGTGACGCTCATAGATGTATGCAAAATTGATCAATAATCATCAATCCATCCAGGGATATTTCAACAGCAGTGTAGCATCTGCGGCATGCGGCAGCATTCAGCAAAGCCGAGGTTAGAGTTTAGACATCAATCAGCATTGTCCAAATTTGGATCAATATTGCCGCTTTCTGGCCACCAAAAATCATCATCCAGTAGTGTTTTAACGTCAGATAAATTGATTGGGTTTGATTGAACAGGGTCGGAAGTGCCTGCTGTGTCTGCCTTGCTTGATGAAACGGCATCATGCTCTGTATCAGTGTCCAATGTCAAGTCTATGACCTCAGGTTCTACACAGGTAATGATTGGCCTCGAGGCCTGTGCTTTTGCAAACCGTCGCTTGACATGATCTGTCAAAAGTGACGACATGGGACTATCCTCGTCATCACTGCAGAGATCGATGACATTGCCACTTGGGGAAGCTATTGTGCAAGAAATCACAGTTTCCCCTCTTTTCCTTTTTCTAACTTTTTGTTGCTGGTTGCGACTTCGGGCGAGCCGAACCTGTGCCTCTATATCTCTCCGAGATGGCATGTCCAGCTCTGCTCGATCTTTCTCATGAATATCAAGTTGGCGTATCTGATATTCCCTCTTCATATCAGTCTCCGCTAGTTTATCTGAAGGAGTATCTTTAGGGCGAGCCCAGGCAGCAAAGGGACCCCTGTAATGAGGTCCTTTACCAACCCCAAAAACAGGGTGCCGTGTGAGTTGTCCGGATGACAGTAATCTATTTGCTGTTTTGACACCAGACTCAGAGTCTGATTCAACCTCATGGCATGACTCATTTGCACGCTCGAAATTCATGTTCCAGTCTTCAGTGTTAGTCCATGGATCTGAGGATAACACATGGACTCCTCCAGCGGCATCCCCAATAAGGAGGTTAGACTTGTCTTGAGAAAAGGAGCCACACATGATTTCTTCCTGAAAGCTTATCATGTCTTTAACATGTACATCTTCAGGGGATCGGAGGACATTCCATCTCTTCACAACCCCATCTGAGGCGCCACTATAAAACTGATCAACACCATCGCCCCAGAGAGCCATCCTTACGCCGACATCCGCTTGTTCTCTGGGAAGGTTCTCATCTATCTGGTTAAGAGGGGTGTCGTGTTCAAGTTTGTGAAGAATAGTATCAGGTTTGCGATAATCCCAAACATATGTGATGCCATCAGTACAGCTAGCAGTCACATAGTTCGAGTTTGTTGGACAGAATGTTATATCGTTGATGTCCAGTGCAGGACAATCATATTCGATGAAACTCATTTTAGATCCAAGCGGGTCATAGAGACGGACAACAGACCTGGCACCTGTAGATCGACTGTGGACTGTAGAGCTTGCTGTTGCAAAAACTGGCAACGACGGATGCCATTGGATATCAAATATATTTTGGGAATTTGGTGTCAGTGGTTCAGGAGTCACTGATGATTCATTGACCTTCCACAGTGCAAGAAGACCATTTTGCGGCACACCATCTTCCTTATCCGACATTCCTGCTACCAACAAATCCTTTGTCGCTGTAACAGTCCCCCATGCTAATGAAGTTGGCACAAACTCAATGCCTTTACCATGTCGATGCCTTTTTGGTAGTTCAAGAGGGCAGTACTCCGACATCTTAATGTCCCATAACCCGATGGTGTTGGTGCCAGTGGCCAAAATATTTTGGTCAAAGTTTGAGCGAGCCATAACCTGCACCTTGGACGTATGCTCCAGAGTCTTGAAGCAAAATGCACTATTGCCACGAGGTTTAGAAATATCCCACAACTTGACTGTTTTATCGTAGCTTGCAGTAAAGAGTGTATTATCGAACCATTGCATAGCAGTAACACTCATAAATAAGCGAGGATCAGTGATATTTTGATGGGATGCAACAGTTGGAGTGGGCCGAGCGATGGAATGATCAGGAAGCTCCCTTAGTGAATTGTTTGTTAAGTTACCAAGCAATAGATTGTTGCCTCGGTTGTATAGCATATTATGCTCATCACACTGGGCAGTAGCCCCTGCTGCAAATTTGGTACCATCAGGTGACCAAGCCATAACGATCACATCATTTGATGCGCCCTTCCAAGATTTTGATATATTGAAGTCCTGTGTTAAAGAGGCACGTAGCTTTCGACCCACATCTAGCCCTAATTCACGACCCTGGAGGAGCCTGTTAAGTGTGCTAGATTTTTGTAATTCTCTGCAGGGTAAGGTGTTTCCATTCGCATTGACACTCCGAGCAGCCTGTGGTCTTGGACGGGGCGATGATTCTTTAACATGATCTTGGCGAAATTTTGTTGCGCTTTCGGTAGAGTATCCCATGCTATTATCACAGTTTTCTCCGTCCGAATCAGGGTCACCGATATCTAACTTCTTGTAATAATTCGTTGGCCCTGTTCTTGACCGGCCGGAGCGTCGTGTTGTTGGAGTTCTTGACATCTCTCCTGTTGGTGGTTTAGACTTTGAAGAATGTGAAGACGACAGGTTTCGTTTAGCATGTGGAGCTACCAATGCCTGCCGGTTTGGACTTTCCGTGGAACACATTGACCTGTTCCTGCTAGTGGGCAAAATGACAGCTACCCTATGAGAGGGCTCCTCTGGTATCTCAAATGAAGATGATCTAGCAGACTGCGGAGATTCTCTCTGATGTTGTGAAAGTGATCTTCTTAGTGGCCCATGTGAATTGATGACAGCATCTAGATTACAGCCTTCTGCATCAGACCTTTGAGATTCCTGAGATGAATTTCCCATAAACTTTTTGAGCAGGAGCTGTGCCTGATAGTTGATGTATGTATCCTCTGAATCACATCGCGAACGACCTGACGTGTACTGGTGTGCATGCATCTCAGACCTAAAACCCTGGCCTTTCAAACCAGAAAATCTTTGGGGCATTATAAGCAGTAGAGAAATATGAGATGTTCTGGAATCTAGTGGTTACTAGAATATGTTTCCTTTCTGATGTATTAATGAGAGCGCCGGGCGTCTAAACTCCGACTGCGACTGAATATCAGTGTCTGGTAAAGTTGAAGTAAGGGAGATTACTGACTGAATTAGGGCTCTAATTTATATAAATCTTAAACGACGTGATGGCACTGAATCTAAATCCTGATGTTGATTTGGCAAAGCCTTCAGTGCAGTCGTTCAGGACAGTAATATGAAAGATCTTGAGAAGTGAACAGTCGTCGAAGGCATTAATTAAACCAAATAGATGAAATAAAAAGCAAGAGCGCTGGCAATAGGTATCAGAGATGAGAAGTGAATGGCTTAATAAGAGCAAGTGCTATGGTGAGGGAATCAAAGGCACCTTACTCTCAAGTGTTCCCTGGAAAAGAAACTTGATATCCCCAACTTCCATGAAGCCGCACGTTGCAAGAGACGCGTTGACGCGAATCTTGCCTGTCTGAAGTGCTATACTCTAAAATAGAAGGCGGTCAGTTCCAATGTGGGGTTGCTATATAAGCCCGCTTTAATTATATTTAGTTGGTTACAGGGGTATGGAGTAGTTAAGGTAGTATAATAGTACTTTGAGCAGGAGATCATCTACATTCTACACATGTCTGTAAATATACCCAGAAAAGAAAACATCATCACTGGAGAATTCAAGTACTATAATGAACCAAAGAAAGTATTATAAGAAAAAGATGACATCATATGACTTCAACTCCTTCATATATATTATCATACATTGAAACTCTTATTTTACCCACAGACAAAAGGGTAAGCAAAATAACAAATGTCCTTTAGCAGAAAAGCCTTTGGGATGTTGTGACCTCTGTTATAATTATGAAGGGTAAATAAGTTCTGATTACATGGTGCTTCATAAAGCATGCCCGATATGTTTGGAGTGGCTGATTATAGTATTCCGTCAAGAAAATTCGAACTGAGATAGTCAAAGGCTTTGAACTTCTTCAATTAGCCTTGAAGAATTTGTATTTAGAAGAACTATTTCAAGAGTAAGCATCTTGATTACTTTGAAACAGTGCGTCCTCTCTTTCGAGCTGAAACCATCATGTCATAAAGAACGTCCTTGAAAGCGAACAAGAACGCCGCGGTAATTGCACTCTGGGTCACTTTCGGTCCAATGCCTACATATGCAAACATGATGAGTCTAGGTCGCATAATAGTCGCTTGACGGATTTATCTTACCTTTGTAAAGTCCCACATATCCCTCTTCTTTGATAATTCTCTTCAAGCTTCCGTTCAAACTTTCCTTGGGACCATCCTTGCTAGCGACGTGCATCCGACTTTTGATCGTGATATAAGGGTATGTGATGGAGGTCGCCAATATCTTGCCTAGGGCACCAAGGTAGAAAGCATCTTTGGGAGTCACACGCCTGCGGCGTTCCAAAACATTCTTCAACTGCTCGAAAATGGTATATTGAAGAATGGGGTTTATCACCAGGATCAATGCCGGTAGAACACCGGCAAAGAGTGCCTTGGGCCCCTCTTGATGGAGCAGGTCCATCAGAGTGCTAATCGTTGATGGTCGTGTTTTCTTAGCCGTCGTGCTGGGCAGCGTTTGCTCCTCGGACTCGGATTTACGAGCTGTCATCCTGGTGTTAATCACCCAAATGGGGTTTGTAATCATGACCGTTGCACTTCCAGCGATGGCTCCAGCAATCATTGATTCAACTGCCGTGAGCTTCTTCGAAACGCGACCTGCTTTGGCAGCTGCTTTCTCGAAGGCTGCCCGAGTCCACTCATACCAATAGTAATATACGAAATTGGTGACGCTAATACCAAATACAGCGGACTCAAGACCCGAGTAGAGTCCTGTGATTCCCTCCCGCTGAATAATACGGCGGACGGCATCGGAGGTCGTGGAATGGGCACGTTTGGACTCGACCTGTGCTCTGGTTGATAAAGTTATAAGAGGATAGCTGTAACCAAATGACATTAGCGACTTTATTCGGGATGGGATTAAGTAATGTGCGCACGTTAGAACCATCGAGAGAATACCACCCCCGGCACCGGCTAATGCATGCGCTATATTGTCGCTCTGTTGGGCGGCTGCTGATGCTGCAGTCGCCTTCTTCTGCGCTTCGACTCTGGATTGAGACATGTGGGCGATGAAAATAGATAAGCAAGGGGTCGAGCTGGAGGACTAGATAGATGTAGATGTTCGATGATACTTCAAAGTGGGAGATTGAGTAAGTATGAGGACTGGCAAAATGGTCTTCATGAAACCGCTGAAGGACCTTACCGTAAAGGAAAGAACAAAAACAAGTAGATATCCAGCAATGTTGAGTAAAACGATGGAAATGGAGAACAGGAGAATATGGGGATGACCAGAGTTAATTTCGACTGTTTGTGAGCAAGGCCCGATAATGATTCGGCTTGAATAATGGGGATGATTTGATTTCCATGACGTTTGCCGAAACCTGTGCCTCGGCTGATGAACCCCCTCCTCCCCGAAAGTACCTAACATGTACAGGTCAACAGGCGCAGTCTCCACGATTCGCATCGATGATCATACTGAAGCATTACAGAAATATGGTAGTCCCCTTTTCAATATACTTAGCTATCTGAAGTTTGTTAATCTCGTGTCTACTATTACTCTATACCTTACTACCGGGGCATCAACAATGCCTCTGGGTAGCGCGAGGTCGGTCGTCATTTCCTTTGTCCACGGTTCACACACACACAAAAAAAAAAAAAAAAAGAAAGAAAGAAAGAAACGGGTATAAAGCTGATTACAAGGCCGAGGCTAGCTTCAAGAACCTAGGAATTCAGTTTGCTCATGTTCACCTCATAGGTAGCTGGTAAGCCCTTGCTATCACTTCCATGTTGCATGTGAAAACCCAGATCAGTTTCCCTTAAAGGGGGGGGATGCTTATTAAAACAACACATTCTTCCACCACTACCCCAGGGGTATAGGGGAAATAAATAAGATAGATAAACAAGCACCACACTGTACTAACCTTAAAACCTCTTTTCCAATGCAGTATACGTTCCTACCTACACCTTAGAACAGTATTAAGGATTTGAGATGTAAGTTATAGGATTCACAAGCTGATATAATAGCACCAGATAAAAAATCCTCCCCAGACATTCTTTGAGTTCTTTCCATTAACCCATTTCACAAAATACGCAAGGAATCCAACCTACAAAAGATAACGAGAATATGAAGGGGAAAGCAATGTAGAGATGCGACAGGAAATGGGGGAAATGATAAAAAGGAAAAAGAAGCAACAGCAGTAATCACATTAGGAGATGAGACAGAAAAGGACAAAACGCAAGCCGTCTAAAGCATGGTGAAAGAAAAAGAATAGAAAGTATTCCCAGCGGCCGTCTCCCAACGATAGAAAGAATAGGTGGCCTTAACCAGTATTGTTCAACTGATGCTGGATTTCAGTAGGCAGTTCAACAGGCCTGGTCACCATGACCTTGCCAATGGGGATTTCTATTCACGAGGCATAAATTTCGCCAAGAAGCATAGCATATCACACCACAGGTCGAAATAAGTTCATCTAGCAGCAACCGCCTGCGGATCCAGATTGAACGCCCTGGCCCTGACCGACCTGCACAGTCGGCTTGTTGTTGACTGTTGCGGTTCCCATACGCTCTTTGATCTGTCTTGCCATGGTCAAGAAAGCCTGCTCAACATTAGAGGCGTTCTTGGCGGAGGTTTCAAGGAAGGGGATTCCGAGGCTATCAGCAAATTCCTAGATTGCAAAAAGCGCAAGTCAGCATCCAGGTTGATCTCAGCCCAGACAGGGGACAGCAGCACAAGTGCGCACCTTTGCCACGGTGTATTCCACAACTTTCTTGTCCTCCATATCGCTCTTGTTGCCAACAAGCAGTTTGTTCACACCCTCAGTTGCATAGCGGTCAATTTCTTGGAGCCACTGCTTGACATTGTTGAATGAGTCCATGTCGGTCACATCATACACAACGCAGATACCATGAGCTCCACGGTAGTAGGATGATGTTATGGTACGGAAACGTTCCTGGCCTGCAGTGTCCCACTAAACCTCTTGTTAGTTGTGTAAATCTACCCGTGTGTGGAAGTCGTCCATACAATTTGAAGTTTCACGGTCTTGCCATCCAGCTCAATAGTGCGGATTTTCTGCCATGGAACTAATTAGCACCAGAAATCAATGATTTCTTTTGATGATAGAACGATGGCAGTCACGTACAAAGTCCACACCGATGGTGGAGATGTAGCTTTCTGTGTAGGTATCATCGGCAAATCGAAGCAGCAGACAAGACTTTCCAACACCAGAATCTCCAATAAGCAAGAGCTTGAAGAGGTAGTCGTATCTAAATCAAAGGTTAGAATAATAAAAGATAGAGTCGCTTGTCGTTTATCTCCGCCGAAGGAATGGGGGGTCGAGAGGTGGAGCTACTCTGATGATCGCCAGTGCAGTTAGAAATCTCTAATCGTCAAACAATAAAAGTATGGAGAGATATAAGGAAGAAGAAACTCCTTGCTGGAGTAAGAAAAAGGGACATATGGCGCACCCTGGTGAACCATGTCCAGAACGGAGGTAAACTGAAGACTTACCACTCGGGATTCATGATGAATAGAATAGGGATGTCTATTTGACTGGTGCAATAACGTCGTTCGAGTAGGAGGACGAAGGGGAGAAGAAGAAGCTAGACTACAAGGAGATGGAAGGGGGGGGAACAGTGGCAGTTAACTGATGTAAGTGTTGCCTGAAAGTGGTTTATTTGATGAACTTCAGCGGCGACCAGAAATGGCGGTTGCGTTGCTGAGTGCAGGAGAGCAGGCGAGCCCAGCGTGCAGGTTCCCTAGTCGGGGTCCGTCTGTGACCGTTTCACGTTCGCCCCCAGACCCAAGCCCCGTTCAAGCCTAGCGCTTCGACAGAGGTTAAACTTCCACCTAACGCACTTCTTGGTAATGTTCTACCTTGACGTACCTAGTTTATTACAGATCTTTTTCTGGAGCCGATCGAGTTGACTGCGATTGTATGGTTGGTTTTTATGATACCTAGACTAAATTCTACCTTAGCCTTACATACAACTGCAACTTGCAGGCTTTTACTATGTTCATAAAGATACATAGCCATTCCCCCAAGTGCACGTCTCGGGTCCCGTGCATACACCTTAACACCTCGTGCAAAAATATGTAGCAGTAACTTGCGTCTTACGGAGTGCTCAGGTGATCTGCACTCATGACCTCCATGACATATCACTCTTGGAAATAGTTGAAATCCGATGCAGAAAAGCAAAGAGCTACCTAGATAAATATCATTGAATCAAGTAATAGTAACTCTTCCAGCATATGTCGGTAAAGATTCGCCTGAGTGACTGGAAACTGAACATTACGATCAAGCGTAGCCGTGAGCTTGAAGCCATGCCAGAACCAGCTTCTCGTCCCGTTCCTTATAACGTGCATTGGTCCGGATGCAATCCGACACGATAACCAGCGCGCGGTCATAAGCACTTGTGTCCCTGCCCTGGAAAAATGAAGCGATCTCAACCCCAACCTGCTGGTCAGCGAACTTCGAAAGACCCATTCGCACGAAACGCTCGAAGACCACATTGTTTGTAGACAATCGAGCCTCAACGGTACTCCAGTTGTTCTTAAGATATTCCCACAGGAGATGTCGAACCGTGGAGTTTGCAGCCAGGGAGACTGCACCGGTGTGCGTATCCTGTATGGCCACTTTGTCTGAAAAGACAAAATCCAGATATTCATTCACAAGACCAGCATCTTTGGTGCGGCCAAGGGCGGCCAAGCATATCTCCTTGCCATCAACAGAATCAGTCTTGAGATATTCCTCTTTGACAGCGTCGTACTCCTTGCGACCACCTTCCGAAATAGCGATTCCAAAAATTGCCGAACGCAGGTTGGTATGTACGGCAGATTTATCTTTGCCAGTAGCCCACAGCTCGAAGCGTCGTTTGGCTTCGGAGATTATGCTGAAATGTCGCGTCAGTAGGATTATTTACATATTGTATGAATAGCGGGGATAAACTTGCCTCTCATGGCCTGCAACGCCAGCCATTGAAATCAATAGCTTTCGAAGCTGCACATTAAGATAACCCTCATCAGGTTTAAACTCCCAGCCGATCTTCTCAGCAGCGGGACCTGCCAATTCGCGGGTAAACTTCTTCAGACTAGCAGCCACCGATTCGCTTTTAGAAAAGACGGAGCGTAGATTTGCAACGGACGAAGAAATCTGAGACCAAACCCTATTAGAATGAGCTGTTAGAATGGCTGCTGAGGATTTTGGAAAAAGGGTTTAAAAAAAAAAAAAAAAAAAAAAAAAAAAAAAAAAAAAAAAAAAAAAAAAAAAAAAACTAACAAATAATTCTGTTCGCCCTTGAAACCCTCCAAAAGAGCCAATAATGCAGCGGATGTTCCTTCACCGGACACAGCAAGAGCAGCAGCGTCTCCAATAAGACCAATCTTATCCTCGGTACTCAACAAATCAAGGGATTGGCCAAGTTTCGCTAAGCGATCAGCGGGGTAGTTAGTCCGATAGAAACCTGAGAAATCCTTATTAATCTTGTAGAAAGAATCCTGGCCGACACCGCTGACAGTATCAGATTTTGAGACGAGTGCACGCGAGTTGACTTCTCTTTTATTCGTGCCTGGTTTTATGCCTAGTGGGATCCACCAAGTTGTTTCATCCTCTTCGGGTTTTGCATCTCCTGTTGATAAGAACCTATTTTGGCGAATGCTGATTTGCCCAGGCTCCTCCGCAACAGTAACGACCGGAAAGCCGATTTTTCGAATCCAGGGATCCTTCACCACATTAATTAAACGAAGGGATATTATATTGGGGTGCCTCTTGACTCACCATGAAACTATTGACGTCCTGGTTCGAAGCTTTGCTGAGAGCTGACCAAAGATCATTTGTAGTGGCATTTCCTGAAAGATCAGCGACAATTCTTTTAAAATAACTATTTTCCACGGTTAATCTTACCATAAGCATGGGTTTTCAGGTACTGAGCCACACCGCGGAGGAATGTTTCACGACCAAGATGATCACTCAGCATGCGAATCACCGAGCTTCCCTTGAGATAGCTTATATGGTCGAAAATCTGGTCAACCTCTAGAGCATTTTTGACTGGTACTTCAATAGGATGAGATGCTCGCAACGAGTCGAGCTGGAACGCTTGTTGGACACCTTCAGCCTATGCAATGGTCAACCTCTTTCTAAGAAAAGTCATAATTACCTCGGGCATTGCGTACAACAAACTGAGACCATATATCCCATTCTGTTCCAGTCAGTTTGTCTATAATAGTTACTCATGCAGTAAGGCAGATACGTACCAGGATAGAAATGATCAACAGCAAGCCAACCGACCCAGGTTGCGAAACCCTCATTCAGCCAAAGTTCGTTCCACCAATCCATCGTCACAAGATTGCCAAACCATTGATGGGCCAGTTCTAGAATTCAATGTAAGACAAGCAATCGCATCTGCTGGGTATTTAAAAGTTAAACTAACCATGTGCGACAACATACGCGATGCGATTCTTATATCTGGTATCCGATTTGCCCTCGTCAAACAAGACAGCGGTTGTCCGGTACGTTACAAGACCCCAATTCTCCATAGCACCCATAGCCTAATTTAAAAGAGGAGGGGGGGGGGGAGTAAGTAAAACATCCAATTACCAAGGAACAAGAACGTATATCACTTACAAATTCATGAACGGCAAGTAAATCTGCCTTGGGCAGGGGATACTCGACTTCAAAAACCTCCGAGAAGTAGTCGACTGTGCGATGAGCACATTCTAAGGCAAAGCGCGCTTGTTCTTTGAGACCTTTCGTGGTGTACACACGAACGGGAATACTCTTGCCCTTGTACTTGCGCTGTGTCATTGCCTCAACATAATCGAAGTCACCAACCGCCCACGCAAGAAGCTACATAATTTTCACTGGTTAGTCTCATAGAAAAATATAAATATAGATCTTGGAGCATAAGCTGACATAAGTACTCATCACTGGAGTTCTCTCAAACGATACAAATTTGAGACCTGGTTCGCTTCCCTGCCTTTCGGACTTGATAGGCATGTTGCTAAGCGCAGTTTGTCCTTGGGGGACTTCAATCTCGAAGTCAAATGTAGCTTTCAGATTCGGCTCGTCGAAACATGGGAAAGCTCTCCGTGCGTCACAGGACTCGAATTGGGTACTCAGCATGTAGTGGAAGTCGCCCTCCTTGGGGGTGTCCGGAGATGGCTCTGCCACAGGCTTATACTTTGACCGGTAGAATCCCGTCATAGCATTGTTCATAGTCCCAGTGAAGCTGATAGAGAGTATGGTATCCGAGGGTGTGATTTCTTGCGGGAACTTAAAAGCCACTCGCTCTGATTTCTTGTCATAGGTTATCTCGGAAGCCTTGGTCAATTTAGTTCCTGCGCATGTATCATCAGTGAGCTGAATGGCCAGGGAAAGATACAAAGAAATATCTAATAATCGGGGCTGCGCTCAAAGACTGACCATCGGTCCCAAATATCTCGGCATCTTGAACCTCAATTTCCTTTGAATTCAGCACGATTTCCGCCGTTGGGCGGGTAATTTTTGTATCTATCTTAAGGATACCCTTGTAACCCCAGGAGCCACCAAGCTGTAAGTCAAAGAGAGAAATATTATAATGAAGCGGTTTGGCTCTGTTCTTAGTTAGCCATGCTCATGTAGTTCTATGTGGACTAAACATCTCTTTGGGGGCAATAATGACTTACGCATCTGGAAGAATTTCCCTGTCCTTAGATGCCATTGTGTGTGCTTCAGCAGAACAATATCTTACAAGAGAGTGTGGTACACCAGGTTTGAAAGAATGAAAAGGAAATGCGCGTGGGGAGTGAGAGCAGAACGGAGAGCGGGAGCGTGAGGAAGCGAAGGAGGGGGAGGGGCGGAGGAAGGAGACTGGCCGGACGGAACGATAGATTGGATGACACCGGATTGCTTGAGCAGTTCCGCCAGCGCATCTGGTTGACGCGATTGACCTTCTCCCCCACATTTGTTGGATGCTTTGTCCTCCCACGGTTATCCTCGGATCATATAATGATGAAATTGACCGGACAGAGCTTCCCAAACTAAGGAACAAAGATAAACAGATAGCAGGATGGTGTAAGATTAGGGACTGAGAAAATGAGAAAATGAGGGGGGGAAAATACACTGTAATCCGTTACGGAGTAGTTGGGGAAGCTCTTGACAGTAGTTGGTTAGGCACGATACAAAAGTACTGAAACTTACGGCGCTCGGAGCTAGGTTGGTAGGTTGGACTGCGGGTAAGGCAAGGTACTCCGTACTCCGTGGTTACCTAAGGTACATACCTTGTTCGATAAATTGGATGTACTGTCGGTACTAAGTGGAAACTCCGTAGTACTCCATAATAATATTCCGTAACTTTAAAAAGTGATTTTGACCATCAACCATCATACATATCGCCCCCCATATAGCTCTCCTCACTCCTCCACGAAAATGGCCGATTCCGATGATGAATATATTGGAGAAATTACGGATGAGGAAGACATTGCTTTGCAAGGGTCTCGAGGGGGGCCACCTGTTTCCCGTTCAAAAAGGAGGAAACAACGCGGAGGTGCGGAATGGGAGGTCTCAAGAACTTGGGAGACGTTAGTCGAAGGTGCAGACGGCACGATCAGCTCTACAGTTGACGGGCTTCTCGAGGCTGGAAAAAGAAAGAGGTGAGCTTGGTCAGAGAATGAAACTTGCTCCTATCGTGCCTTTAGAATCAAGGATGATGGCAGATATAGGATCGTGATGCTGAGCTGAAGGCTTGTTGCAGACTTCTTAGAGACACAACTCCACTGCAGCGTGGCATAATCCGACATTTGATTCTTATCCTAGATCTCTCACAATCCATGTTGGAGAAAGATCTACGCCCAACCCGATACCTTCTTACTCTTCGATATGCCCAAGAATTTGTGAGGGAGTTTTTTGAGCAGAACCCTATCTCTCAACTAGGTGTCCTTGGTCTAAATGATGGCTTGGCAATCAGAATAAGTGATATGAGCGGCAATCCCACCGAACACATTAGTGCCATACAAACACTCAGAACCCAGGACCCAAAGGGTCTACCAAGTTTGCAAAATGGACTTGAAATGGCTCGTGGTGCCCTCTTGTGAGTCTTATAATCATATACAAACTATATCATTGAGGAAAATTAACTCATGTCCCAACAGTCATACTCCAAGCCACGGCACGCGAGAAGTCCTTATCATTTTCGGTTCCCTCCTTTCCTCTGATCCTGGTGACATTCATCAAACAATAACCACCCTCATTAATAATAAAATACGAGTTGGGATTGTTGGCCTTGCTGCTCAGGTCGCAATATGCCGTGAGCTCTGTGCCAAAACCAATGGCGGCGATGACACCGCCTATGGGGTGGCACTAAATGAGCAACATTTTCGTGAATTAATGATGGATGTAACCACGCCACCAGTTACATACTCCCAAAAACAATCTGCAAGCTCCCTATTGATGATGGGATTTCCATCTCGTACGGTTGAAACCTGCCCCTCTCTTTGCGCCTGCCATTCGAACCCTTCTTGCGGGGGGTATTTATGCTCACGTTGCAGCAGCAAAGTCTGTGGTCTTCCTGCTGAATGCCCTTCCTGTGGTCTCACATTGATTCTTTCAACTCATCTCGCTCGGTCTTACCATCATTTATTTCCTCTAATGAATTGGGTAGAGGTTCCATGGCAGCGTGCCTCGCGAAGCTCTGCATGCTTTGCCTGCGGTATTGCATTTCCTCCCGTCCCTTCCAAGGAGCAATGGCAAACAACAGAGAACCATGCCAGGGGAATTAGCGTGAGCAGTCGATATGAATGCACTGCGTGTGAGCATCATTTCTGTATTGATTGCGACCTCTTTGCTCATGAAATTGTGCATAATTGCCCTGGCTGTCAAAGCAAAAACACACTGCCACTAAAAATTAATTCTGCTAAGAGCCACACAGGTACAGACCAAATGGATACTACAGTGTAGCTTTTGCTGTCTTTTTCTTTTGAAGGTGAAATTATTCATATAAATAGGTACTGCATGGTTTGGCGTTGGTTAGGCTTATGGTAATAATGCTTCTTTTTAGAAATAGTATTAAGTAGAAAAGGCAGACAGCACTCCTGTGGGCAAGTATGAGTCCAAACCGTACGCGGAATTTCAAGTTATGGCTGTTATGGCTCTCAAGAATTCCCTAAAATGTGACCTGCTCAAACAAGATAAGTGGAGGTCAATACGTTGATGATCATGCCAGTAAACCAGCATTGAATAAGTCACTACCACAGACCAAAGCATCTTCAATAAAAATCAGAATATGGGCAGAAGATTTTGAATATAGGAGTGCAGATTCATTAATGATCATTACAAAGGTAACATTGATACAGTGTGCCTATACTCAATGCTACCTAGAAGGTACATGGAGTGAATACAGAGTACTGTACTAGCTCCATTTGGATACGTCACTTTTACGTCTCCATGGGCCTCGGCTATTACTGCTCCTGTACGGAGTTGTTGCACCGCCAGCCACATTGAGTCCTCGAAAAGACAATAGGTCTCGTCTATAAGCAAATACTTGACCGAAAACAGGTGCTTCAGAAAGCTTTTACTCCTAGCCTGACAGAAGTTTGATATTCACACGAAAACCCATGAGCCCATGAGCCCCACCCATCATGAACGATCTCTCTTCGACTCAACCGTCAAATCAAGCCACAATGGTAGATTCGGCTGGCAAAGAGCGTCATATAAAATACTCTCCATCAGAAAGTGATATTTTTGGCAGACTCCAGTCATATCCTTTCATTACAGATCTTGAATTTGCGAACGGCCTTTCGATAATCCTCGGTCACCCAAACACCCCCGCATCTGAAGCCGAGATCAATAGAGAGGATGATCTAGTTTTGCAAGCAAAATGCTTCTATTTCTCACGGTGTGTGGCTTTCGTTATGCTAGCAGCAAGATGCTGATGCACTTCCATCTTGACAGTTATGTTGCAATACATACTAATGCTCATTGTGTTGTTCTCCTGTAGAAAACAGAAGCTCACGACGCCGCTTAATTTCGCGGCATATAAGTCCTGGAGTGCATCGAATACGCAAGAAGAGCCACCATACTTGAAAGAAAGCAGTGCAGATGGGTTGCCTCAACGGGGTATATCTGCGCCGGCCACCGAGTCATCTCTGTCTAGACCAAATGCCCTTGATAGCCATGCTCCATCATACGTACCGGAACCTACTTATCCATCTTCTTTTGCGCATATTGTTGAACTCATTACCACGGGGCAACCGATACCTGGAATTCAGCAAATACCGAACACCGTACTAACAGGCCATGACATCTCAAGTGCAAAACCGAGGAGACTAAAGCCGTGGGAAAAGGAATGTGACGATGCAGACAGATTGTTGGGGAATGATATATGAGGGATGTGAATTACCATGATTGTCAGTGGAGATGGAGCTTTGAATAGGTAAGGACTTGGAGAAATTGTGCCTATGGTAGAGCACCGACGAAAATAGTTCCAAGAAAAATACTATGCGCCCTCTTGCCCAGATCATTCTGGAAGTTATTTCAGACAAAAGCGTACTATTACAACTTACACTACATTGGATAAAGAGCGATACAGCAGGGGCTCATTTTCTGGCTAAAGCCAGGGAGCAACAAAAACAGAAAATTCGCAAACATGACGCATAAAAATGACCGTGTTGGCGCATGGCAGGTTTTTTTTTTTTTTTTTTTTTCCCTCTCTTTTGCTGCAGACCAAAGTTCTGGCGTAGTATCACATACCTATTAACTTTCCTGTACCCTCGTGAAATATCAACGATCTTCAAAGCAAATCCTTGCTTCAGAGAATGAAACGAAATTATGGTGGGCCGATACAAAAAGGATGAATCTGTTGAAGAGAGAGCACGGTGCACCAATGAAGTAGCATAAATGGAGGTGGAGATGCGAAGGACTGCGCAACTGATATGAGGTCAATACTTCTTGGCTAAGGACATCCAAGGGAATCCTAGGATGGGAAACAAAGTGAATATAAAAACTTGGATTCCTGGCTGCATACGGAGCTCTCCGTCCTTGACTGGTTTCGATCGACAGCGGTTTCTATCGAATCTCAATGTTGGTACATTCAGCGGAATGGTGGGTAATTCGGGTTCCATTGATTTCCGCGACTAAAACGTCCTCCAGGCTGGCTCGCCAGCTGGAATCTGTCATCACTGAAATTGTGGAAACGGCCAATTTGCATGCCAGCCCCTGGTCCAGGACGGGTAGCATGGGATGGGTTGCAACATAGCATAGCTACTCGGGAGCCAAACTTAGAACCACGTAGAGAAACCATGTGCTTTCTTCAGGTTCATTAGCATTTCTTGCCTTCCAAGTCAGGTATACGAAAAAACTGTACCGGATGTGACTTGCAACTAATTCTCTCTGATGAGGCGCCGCGTTCATTAAAACCCATTGGATAAGGTAATTTCCATACTGATCACCCGCGACTGTAGGATTTAGTATTGATATCGTACGGGGACGACAAGGTGTTTTCTTACTATCAATCAATGGCATCCTTGGTCTGTCGGCACGGCCAGTACACACTCGAGAGAGGTAACGATCCAGGAATTCAGCCTCCCCTATCTTAAGACATTTTTCCACAATCTTTGAAGCAAACTGGTCCATACTGTAGTCAACAGACCAGAGAATTATATGCTCAATTGCGCGGCTTTTATCGTGAGGGGCGCCATGTTCACAGATATGCTGGATACACCAGTTCCCAAATTGGCCATGAGCAAGAACGTCAATCTTCGCTAGCACCTCTTCGATTGCTGGGCGCTGTATAGCTGTTAGCAAGACTTCATAGGTTCATGCCAAAATAGATTTAACATGGAGAACCATTAAACTGGATGTCTCGAGACACATAACCTCATTCCTCCCAGAGGGAATATTATACAGAGGTTTTGGCAGAAGGGAATTCGTCACCTTTTCGTCCTCTACGCAATTCTCAAAGATGTTCTGAACCACCAAGCTTCCTGTCTCCCCCAGGGCAACTTCATGCCACATTCCACGCAACGCTTCGTTTACCTTTGCCATGATCTGTGGGGGTTCACCACTCCAACGCAATTCAAAAAGCTTTTGCCACACATGACAAGCATATCTGTGAATAACGGTCTCTGGGATTCTTCGTAAAAGCTCATGAACCATAACAGCTTTATGCTCTTCGGGAACACAATCGAAAGCCTTCTGTATTACATGGCACCCAAAGGGGTCCATGCTAAGGCTCAATGTGTTACCTTTTACTGCGTTCGCAATAGCAACAACCTGCTCGGAAGTTCCATGCTCAAAGCAACGCTGGACCAAGAAGTTGCCAAAACGATTAACCATGAGAGGGTACGCTTGGTTCACAATGGCCTCAATGATATCGTATTTTTGCTCGGCTGTTCCAACTTTGAGCTTTTGTTGTAGAAAAATTGAAGCTTGTTGATCATTGTTGCAGACAATCTTGTCCACAATATATTTCCAATCGCATGAGACATTTTTGTCCAGAAGTCGACGGTAATTAAGCGGCTCAAGGGGTGAAATGTATGTTTGGATGGCATTCCCACCGACCTATATATATACATATCTATATGAGCAGAGACGCACAGAATGTGTGCGAATATAGCTTACCGATGAAGTGGTCCAAGGTATCCCATTTGTGTTAGTCGTGGTAAATTCAGTTGCCGTCGGGGATAGTGGTGCTCCGACAGGCCGTGGATGGTATGCAGGAATCGGATACAGCCCTACCTGTTGGTAAGTGTTGCAAGCCCTATTTGCAGGTGATCTAGGGACGGCGCTTGGGGGAGGGCTAGTGGCAAAAGTGCCCCAGGGGGAATTCTGTATTGGGAAGCAGGACCCAGCACGATTCACTTGAGTAATAGAACGGCGTGGCCCAATGCCCGGTCCTTCGAGGTATCGAGACTGCTCCCCGGTGCAGCGTGCGTCAAAGTTACCGGCACTTGAGGAAGGGCCCGAAAGCACTCGTTGAGACTGAAAAGAACCATTACCTGGGAAGCTAGGGTTTGTAGCTGGACCGCCCCAGAATCTGCTTGGATCTTGACCAACTGAACCGCTAGGTAGTGGTAAAGAATCGCCATAAGCTTTTTCAGGAAGCGGATTGATTTCCATACCAAAAACCTGCTGAGCAGGGGGAGGCCAGAACCCTCGAGCTCTGTTATAAGCCCCGGCAGATAGAGCATCGGAGATATCTGACTGTGAGTCATCTTGCCCATTCCATGTATCCTGAAACTGACTGAGAGTGTGATTTGATGCATTGAAAGCGTTCTGTAGATGACTGATGGTCTGCTCGGTAACCTCGCGTCCGTTGAAGTCAGCTTCAGATGGGGGTCCAAGGGCTTGGTCGAGAGTATGTTTGATCACCCGCGTTTGTGCTAATTCTTGCTCTTGGATGGCAATTTTGGAATTGGCGGCAAGTAACTCCTGCTTCAACCGCAGAAACTCGGTGGTATCTACATTTTTGGCATTACGCTGAGTGGCATCTAGTGGAGCAGAATCCTGGAGCGACTCAGTTGCAAGAGTCAGTGGCGCCACGGTAGACGACCCATCGGTCTCCATATGAGCCGTTGAGATGGCATTATTTCCCGCCAGAAGATGCTTTTGTTTTTCCAGCAGAACCTGCTGCCCAGAAAGCTTTGTGAGGGTCTCCTGGTTTACAGAAGGCCTCGCACTAGAAGCTTGGGGCTTGGGTGAAAGCTTGGCTAGTATTTTTTCCATCTCAGAATGACCGACGGCGGTGATAGAGTTTGAATGCTCCAACTTCTGCTTCTAGGCTTGTGAGACAGCAGACACTTTAGATATTCAGAAAGAAACCTGACCTTATTTGACGGTGTATCTTCATATTCACTAACAGGGGGTTGGGAATTTCCAAGCTTAGAAGATACAAGTGGATCTGGAGGGCTGTTGGGGGTGTTTAAATGCTTATGTCCCTATACGCAATTCCGAATATATGTTAGAAGAATATGCATCTTTCCAAAAAGACTTTCGAATGAATGTTTCAAGGCTAGAAGTTATCGACTTACTGATGCTTCGCGTCCAAAGCCTAGGGCGTGCATCTCGCAGCCCCCATCATTGGAAAGAAACCCCCCTTCAGAATGCTTGCGGCTAATTGTAGGGGACCCAGTAGAAAGAAAAGACATTTTGTCCAGTTGATAATAACTATTTCTGTTCGGTATTTGTCAATGTGGTAGTCAAGCAAGATAATTTAAGAAAGTATTGCAAGAAAAAGAGAGAGAAAAGATGAAGTAGCTGAAAGCGCGTGTTGAAAAGACAGCACACTTCACAAAATCCAAATGTTTTCACATGCAATGACAAGCTGACAGGAGCATATGCTTGCGAGATGACTGTAAGTGTGGAGATAGGCTTTTTATCTTTGTGTTGGGGACAAGAAATGAGATAGATGGCAGTATTTAAAACAGAAGAGATCAAAATACTGTAAAGAAACTTTTGAGAGGAGGGGAGAGAGGGGGATTTGGGAAAGCAGGGGTGGCTTAGGGAGCGACGATTAGAAGAGGAAAGGATGGGACGAAAGGTAGAGAAGGGAAGACTGGGGGTGAGAAAGTCGCACCTGCTGGAGGGAATGTCCATAAGAGGAAGGACTGCCAACAACCAGTCCGGGTAGTATCCCCCGCCATACAGAACTCATGCAATGGCGAGGATGATAAAAGTAAATATAACAGTAAGACAGACTAGATTAGAAACATCAATCTAGAGGTGATTGGTTAATATACCTTCCAAATCATACACATGTGAGCATACTTACATTGAAGCTATTGTTGTACCGGGGGAATTAATGAATTGTTAATCTATTGACACCAGCTCTGTCTGCCTTGGGATCTTGGCTGATATAGGATCCAGATGATATCCACCAAAATTTGTCAAAGTGGCCAGCACCATGCAATCCAGCGTGGCCTTTCTAACGACAACTGTCACTCAGAATTAAAAATTCAGGTTGCCCAACACCAGTAAGGATGGGTACAAGGCGTGCCGCATGTTCGAGGCCAGATATATCTGCACCCCATATAACAAGCTCCAGTCGCTCACCCTCCAGTGGGCGGAGGAACAATGCCCCCAAGCCATTTTCATATTTATAATGATATTCACGGCACTCCTGCTTTAGAGGCATGTCAATTTCAGTTCTTTGTCTGGTGTGGTTATGGATACAATCTTTAAACAGGATCAAATGGCCACCAGCACTGCGGATCGGAAACCCTGTATGCTGTGAAGAAGGTAAATCGTCTCCCACTGCAATAGTCATGACATTCCCAATACCGATGTCATTATTTCCGTTATGGAATGGGGTGTATGTGGAGTTATGCTTTGAGGCCAATTGAGAATCAGCTGCGAAATATCGAAGACGATTGCGACTGATCTGGAGCGCTACATGGTCAACACCTTTCGAGCACGTGCAAATCGAAAAGGTCCCATTAGAACGTAGAATCGCACCCATCGCCCCCAGTTGACGGCCATATGGATATCTGATGAATGTTTTGCCATCTCGCTTCATTCGAGGATGTCCATATACCTGAAGCATCGACCAGATACCACGTATCTTCGCACCGATTCGGATCAACTTCAAATGAATCACCTGTATCATTAAATGCCAAAGCAACAGGCAATTTGATCCGAGAATTAGCAGAAAGGTGAAACCGATGTATGTTCTGTGTTTTTATATACCAAACCCCGTTTTCTAAGTTTCTGGTGATTCTCATTTGGCCATTGATATCAGGAGATTGTAACTGGTCGACATTTATCCCATTTTTGGGCCACATGCTTCCAGAGGACGGGATAGTTAGGGTAAAATCAAGGGAGAAATTTGTTGGACATGGGGATCGAGTAGTTTCTTCCCAAAATTTAAACAAAGAGAGTTGCCAGGACTCCTTCAAACCAATGGCCCTTTCCAAGCAATTCGTCATATTCGGACGGCCATCGGGTTTGTCCTAGAAGCTCATGCATGAGGCGAGAATGATAGACTCCAACGTTATCATCATCGGAACCGTGCTGCTGAAATACGGGTATACCAGCAAGGTTACTTAATAATAGCCCGTGTTTAAATCTGGATCTCGATCTTTCAAGTATAGATGCGATCAACGGTTCAGAGTCCTGCCACATAGAATATGCCACATAGTCTGCGCTCTTTCTATCAACATCCTTGGTTTTCGAATGGCCTTAATTAGACGTACTTTGGATTTATGAATACCCCGACACAGGTGCTGCGGCAATAATATTATCGGGATAATGAGTGGATAGATACCACGCCCCTTGACCTATATCTTTTAGCAGATGAAAATGTGGATGTAGAAATAGCACTCAAATTCGGCACATCCATACCTCCATTTGAATGACCAACAACAATCCAACTGTCTAGCGTCACTTTTGGGCCTTTCCAATTGACATGTTCTATCCAGTCTGTAATCGCAGCCACAGCTACCATGGCATCAAGAGTACCCCAATTATCTACATTGATGGTGAGCATTCTCTGATACATATCAATCATGAGGAAAATATTGTTTGTTTTGATAGAGTTATGTAAAACAGGAGCTACACAACAAGAAAATCCATAGAACTCACGCCAGTCATTAGCACTCCAGGGAGTGACACCGCTTGGAAACTGAACCCATGCACAAATGCCATAGGCGTCATCTAACATCTCACGGGCCTGTATACTATCTGCATCAAGCCCTGCTCCATGAAGGCCGATTAGAACGGGATTGAAACCAAGTTTATCTCCGCAGATGGGATCCAATGGGGGAGGGCGTAAAACGGCGTAGGACACTATCTGTGCAGGATGAATAAATGTAAATTTTTGAGCATCTGACGATGACCTTTCCTCGAGTTTTATCTGGAAGGATTGGGTTCTGAGTATTTCTCCTTCCTTTTTATGGGGGTTGTACACAATATTAACAGGGAATTCGGTCTGTAGTGGAGTGCCAAGAGTGATGTTGAAAATAATGGGTCTGGTTTGGTAAGGAGACATATGGAACGGCCTCCTGATGGCCAAATTATGCTGCTGAGCCTGTAAATTTTATTGACGGTATGGATTTCGCCGCCAAGTAATTGCCTTGCATGCATGGGAGTGCTAACATCAGGCGAGCTCACAGAAAGTATCTCGACCCAGTCGGCCATATTGTTCTGTATATGAACTGATGCCCATGGGCTTCCAAATCTCCCTTGTGTAAATTCTGATATCACAAGGCTCGTCTCATCAATATCGATCAATGCATCGCGTGTCTCTGCCTCAATCACCACTTCAATTGTAGGTTTTTCGAGCGCTCCAAGTACTCGAACATCCCGAATCAGCCGCAAATCAATCACATGGAATCCTGGCCAGAGATATAAAATGACAGGCACTTTGCGATAGGTGTAATAATCACCTCCAAAGTAACGTGTGCCGTCGACTGAGAATTCTAGCAAACTGTCTGTAAAAAGAGCAATTGTTTGCCCATTTGGTTTGTCCACTTTCAAGAATCCGCGCGCCCAGGCTTGATATTGCAGAGCAAACCATCCATATATGGATTGCAGATAGCCCCAATTGATCTCTGGGAAACTCACTTTCAATATAGCCTTGGTCTGTCCTGATGGAGAGCTGAGTACATCAGCCTGAATTCGACGCCATTTCACGGTTCCATTAGCAGAAAGTGCACTGTTAAATGCATCCTTCTTATTATATGCCAAATTGCCAAACCCACCTTGATACTCCAAAGGATCTGCGCCCCAGGAAGCTTCTCTTTGAATATCTCAGTGTTAAAATGTACCATAATGGGGTCTCGGAGAGTAACCTTACCTCGCGTTCCAGATTTAAAAGGGCCAAGGATTTGTCATTCGTCCGAGAATGAAATACCATTCAAGTACGGTTGAAAGAGTATTTGGTAAGGACTATTATCAAGGGAAGGCCCGGTTGCTTTCGAGCTGCACAGCCCCGCGGATTTGAACAAAAGAATTATCGTTAAATGTATTCGTGTAATGCAGAAATATAACTCTTTTTTTTTTTTTTTTTCACAATAAAATTCTAAATGTAGACTGTAAATTGTTATAAAAAAAGTTAAATTTCTGCAGCTATGCTATAGTTCAAATGCCTCGTCAGGGCTAGATAGAAGTAATTTAATACATGGGACATAATACCTTAGTGCCTTAATACCTTTGGAGGGGTTGCCCACGTGATACACGTGCAATAAACACTATCCGGATGTACTCCGTACGGAGTACCAAGGCAAGTATTTCCTATGATCTACAATCTTATCTATTTTCTAGACCTTATTTCCTAGGCATTTGCCATTTAAGCAAGAATTCGCATATAGGTAATGAAATGTTGTATGGATGAATGAGGTCATAGGCGAAACCCCTGAGACCTGAGTAAAAGATTCCATGTCCCCACATAGGTAATGTACCTTAGTTTACGTCTGTACTCCATACTCTGTATTTATGTAATTATTTGCAGTCTCCGTGTTGTATTAACTACCATCACTGATATTTTAAACTGACTTCATCATTTCCATTTTTCATTGAGTTATAAATAATAAGCAGGACCTTTAATACTAGTTGTGGAGTAAGTACACAGTAATACCAGATATATCAGACAGCATGCAACCAAGGCGGCGTTCTCCACGGGTGTCATCCCGCTGCGTGTCCTTCATTCTTAATGTTCATTCGCCAGAGAAGATTCGTCATCGGGGAGACCGCAAACGTACGTACCTTACCACCAACCTAGTACCCAGTACCTACTACCAAATCCTCCACCTCTCCGTCCAGCTTCGCGGTCTCCTTCAGAAAAGAGAAAAGCTCAATGAAAAACTGGCTGGTCGACATTTAGAAATTTCTCTTGAATTTCCATCGATTTGCCTAGCCAATTGGGCGGGTACTGTATGTATACCGACTTTTTCAACCCCCTCTTGAACTATCTCTAGATGTGAGCTGATCGTGTCATTGAATGGCCGTAGAAACCCAACCCCGAAAGATGACTACAACCATCGTGACAGATACCGGGCGACGTTCCTCGATACGACCATCAGAACCGCAGCAATCCATGTCTAGCCCTGTTGATAAGTTTCCATCGTATTGCGATGAACTATACGACACAGCAACAGAATTGAGGGACCCTCCAAATTCCACGATCAAATATTTGCCAAATGATACCTGGGAGCCTCGAAAGGCAGGCCCTTTTCCTCGAGACCATACAAATGGGTCTGTCAGGAATTCAAAACATAGACCGCGAAAGAGTATCAGCGAGGCTATCAGCACAATTAGGACCCGCAACGCGAGCGTGAGTGCCAACGCGCAGGAGTTGGCGCAAGCCCTCAGGGCTCCAATATCTTATCGACTGATAGTAAGGCCACTTGATGAGAATGTTCAAGCTTTGTTTCTGTGGCTCATTAATTCCTACTCAGGTTCTCTGTCTCATTTGGTATACAACTTCTGCTGTTACAAATACCTCGTCGAAATCTATACTGAATGCACTTCCTATGCCGATTACCCTTACAATTGTACAATTTGCTTTTGTGTCTATATGGTGTTTGCTCCTAGCGTATCTTTCAACCACATTACCCTGGCTCAGAAGAAACGTACCAGCTCTAAAAAATGGCATCCGCTACCCAACTCGCGATGTTATCACGACTGCTCTGCCTTTGGCAGTATTTCAGCTAGCTGGTCACATACTTAGCTCCATGGCTACCTCTCAGATACCGGTGTCTTTAGTTCACACCATCAAGGGACTCTCGCCACTTTTTACAGTCCTGGCATACCGTGTGCTTTTTCGCATAAGATATGCCAAAGCCACTTACTTGTCACTTATTCCGTTGACTTTAGGTGTCATGCTTGCTTGCTCCACCGGATTTTCGACGGATTTCTTCGGTATAGCATGCGCACTAGTTGCCGCAATAGTCTTCGTCTCACAAAATATCTTTTCTAAGAAGCTTTTCAATGAGGCCTCGCGCGCGGACTCGGAGATGCAACCACCGGGTCGACGAAAGCTAGATAAGCTGAATCTCCTTTGCTATTGCTCCGGGTTAGCATTTCTCCTCACATTGCCTATTTGGCTTGTTAGCGAGGGCTACCCTTTGATTTCAGACATTATGCAGGATGGTGTCCTATCTTTGTCAGAGAAAAAGGGTTCTTTGGACCATGGCGCACTTTTCATTGAATTTGTTTTCAATGGAATATCGCACTTCGCGCAGAATATCTTGGCCTTTGTTCTACTGTCAATGATATCGCCAGTCTCATACTCCGTTGCATCTCTGGTGAAACGAGTGTTTGTCATTGTTGTCGCCATCGTGTGGTTTGGCAGCTCGACCACGGGTGTCCAAGCTCTCGGGATCGCTCTAACTTTCCTTGGACTGTACCTCTACGATCGCAATAGCCATGAGGATCTGGCAGACCAAAGAGCAAATGCCGATCACTTTCGCGCAAAAGAAGCAGTTCTACCTTTGAACGTCCGCACAACAACCAAGGCATGGGATTCAAACAGCTACGCATTCCCTTCATCAAAACCTACCCAAAGTCAATTTCCCGACAGTTTGAACTCTTTGGTAAATAATCCGAAGAAAGAAGATGATGGGCCAGGTCGGATTCGACCCAGAGGAAGTAGTGTCTCCCGAACATGGTTGCCTCCTGGCACAAAACAAGAATCTACTTGGCAGCCAAGTGACTCTTAGTTACCATATGCCACCATTTTCTCCTCAGTTTTGTTTTGTTTCTGTATCATATTTAGGTTTTTGGTGTTATAAGGAAACGCGTTTTCATCATCATCATCATTGATATTATTATTATCTATTTATTTCGATTTTTGATTTTGGGGGGGTATTATCCTCATGCTAAGATAAGAGGTATGCAAGACTAAGAAAGATGTACATGTTTGCTTGAATTATTGAATATGAATGTGCAATAGATATTGATGGTAACTATTTGTTAATTATAGCAATCTGGTAGGCCAGGTGCCTTGTTTGACCCTTCCTTACCTACCTACCTTACTAGTGAAAGGCTGCCTTTCTTTTCCTCTACCCCTTCCTCGCATATTCACCATGCACCCAGATACAACCATAACGCCTAGGTAGGTCCGATTAATGGTAATATTATTTCTACTGAGTCCTGGCGGGAAAAAAAATAAAAAATAAAATAAAAATTCCTACGTTAGGTTAACCGTCGTTGGATGTAGCCACCAGAAGAAAAGAACTCTGCCATAATTAAGCAACCCGCCATTGACAAGGATAGCTTTAGGCGATTCCATCACAGGGCATAAAGTCGCTCTTGAATCATGTAGCAGAGGAGGAAGAGATCTATATTATCTTGAAGATAATACCCTTCCACCTACAATAAAACATGTCCGTGAAATGAGTTTGATATGGTAAGAAAGAAAAAAACAAAACTAAGCCGCGCATTTCCGACAAAAGGTGTTTGGTTCGGATTAAATGATTTCCCGCATAACCGAGCCAATCCGCAGGCGGCAATTTGCGAGTGACGCCCCGGCTGGTGTCTCTGGGCAGAAACCGAAGAAGCCAAAAGTGCTCTGACCACGAACAACAGCTCTTACAGCTTTGCTTCTGCCACCTCCTTCCCATCCCTCACCCTCGAATCTTCTTCTTTTCTACCTCTCCTTGAATTTGCTTTATTTTACACAATGCGGCCGCAGTTGTTTCGTGCGGCCGCCCGGTCTCTCCGGGTTCCAAACGCCAGTTATCCCAGGACCTTCGCGACGACAACCCCTCGCGCTGCAGAGGTGGAACTCACAATTGGTACGTCAGGGCATATCGATCATTGCTTCCTTGATGCATTTGCTAATGTTCAATTTTTCAGATGGCAAGAAGGTTTCGGTAGAAGGTAAAGTCTTCAAAACGAGCGGTCCAAAAGTCTTTCCTACTTACACCGTTTTTCAGCTGGCTCCGCTCTTATCCAGGCCTGCGAAAAGGCAGGCGCCACAATTCCAAGGTATTATCCGTTAGAAACTTGACATTAGTTGATATGTACTGATATATCTTGATAGATACTGCTATCATGAGTACACTCTATCCCTGTCGTTGATCATGGTTTACCTCTAACACAGCAGATAGAAAATTATTGATTGCAGGAAACTGTGGGTTACAAAAGGCTCGTTATCCCAAATATTGATTTGTCTGATTCATTTTTAGGTCGTATGTGTCTTGTCGAAGTCGAGCGAGCACCGAAGCCTGTGGCATCGTGTGCCTGGCCCGTACAACCTGGAATGAATGTCAAAACCAGCTCCCCGCTTGTGCACAAGGCGAGAGAAGGTGTTATGGAATTCCTCCTCGCTAATCATCCCCTCGATTGCCCTATTTGTGACCAAGGAGGAGAATGTGATCTTCAGGACCAGTCGATGCGTTATGGTGCTGATCGCGGGCGATTCCATGAAGTCGGTGGCAAGCGTGCCGTCGAAGATAAGAACATTGGACCATTGGTCAAAACATCTATGAACAGGTGCATCCACTGTACTCGTTGTGTCCGCTTCATGAACGATGTTGCCGGTGCACCAGAGCTTGGAACCACTGGCAGAGGGAATGATATGCAGATCGGCACTTATTTGGAAAAGAATCTCGACTCTGAACTCTCCGGAAATATTGTCGACCTCTGCCCCGTCGGTGCTCTCACATCAAAGCCTTACGCTTTCCGGGCTCGTCCATGGGAGCTGAAGCACACAGAATCCGTCGATGTCCATGACGCCCTGGGCTCCAACATCCGGATCGACACCAGGGGTATGGAAGTTATGCGGATTACCCCAAGACTCAATGATGACGTTAACGAGGAATGGATTAATGACAAGTCCCGGTTTGCGTGCGATGGCTTGAAAACCCAGAGACTTACAACGCCTTTGATCCGCAGGGAGGGAAAGTTTGTTCCTGCCACGTGGGAACAAGCTCTCACTGAGATATCCTCGGCTCAGGAGAAGCTTCAAATGAAGGCCAACGAATTTAAAGCCATTGCTGGACATCTTGTCGATGCGGAATCACTTGTGGCCATGAAGGATCTGGCCAATAAACTTGGTTCTGACAATCTTGCTCTCGATCAGCCTGGTGGCAGTTCGCCTGTTGCACATGGTATCGATGTCCGTTCCAACTACCTGTTCAACTCTAAGGTTTCCGGAATCGAGGAAGCAGATGCCATTCTTCTGGTTGCCACCAACCCCCGCCACGAAGCCTCCGTGCTCAATGCTCGCATCCGTAAGCAATACTTACGCTCTGATCTCGAAATCGCTCTTGTTGGAGAGAAATTTGACAGCACTTTCGACTTCGAGCATTTTGGGTCTGATGTTTCCTCCTTGAAAGCGGTCCTGTCTGGACCCTTCGGAGAAAAGCTTGCTTCAGCTAAGCGACCCATGATCATTGTTGGCAGCGCTGCAGCCGAGCACCAAGATGCGAAGGCCATCTTTGAAACGGTTGGTAACTTTGTGGAAAAGCATGCGGGCAACTTCAATACCCCTGAGTGGCAAGGTTACAATGTACTGCAGCGTGCAGCATCTCGTGCAGCTGCCTACGAAGTCGGTTTCACTACACCCTCTCCAGAGGTTGCTCAAACCAAGCCCAAGATGATTTGGCTCCTTGGTGCCGACGAACTCGGTCAGAGCGAGATTCCAAGTGATGCATTTGTTATCTACCAAGGCCACCATGGAGACCGCGGTGCCCAGTTGGCCGATGTTGTGCTTCCTGGTGCAGCATACACTGAGAAATCCGGCACTTATATCAACACTGAGGGACGGGTTCAAGTAACTCGCGCAGCTACCTCTCTGCCTGGAGCTGCCCGTGATGATTGGAAAATTATCCGCGCAAGCAGTGAATTCCTTAGTGCCCCACTCCCCTATGATGACATTGAGATGCTCCGTGATCGCATGGAAGAGCTCAGCCCTGTTATGCGTCGGTATGACGTTGTCGAGCCAGTTTCTCTGAGTTCATTGAGCAAGGTTCAACTGGTTGATCAGAATAAGGGCTCGCAGGCAACTGGGGCTCCATTCAGCAAGGTCATTGAGGACTTCTACTTTACGGATTCCATTTCCAGGAGGTATGTAGACTACAACTTACTGGACATGTGTAGTTCGCTCTGTGCTAACTCAAATGCAGTTCACCAACTATGGCTCGCTGCTCGGCAGCCAAAGCTATTGGAAACCCCGAGACAAACTTCATGGCTGCTGGTGAAATGTCCCCACAGGCTTTGTATGGCTGAACCTATAACACCCTGAGTGGTGGTCGCTTTATTCATGTTTCTCTGTTGGTCTAGGCGTTGTCGTTGTACCACCTAAACATCACTGTGTTGTTCTATTTCCGTTTTATCTTTTATTTTGATTGTTTTCCCTCTATCTCTTTTTCTATTGTGCCTCACTATCACCACCTGGGTTCAACAATTTGAACTAATCAGTAGTGGTGAACTTGTACATAAGATTGAGACAAAAAATAGTGTCAAGAGGCATTAGAAGCCATACGAACTTCTAATTGAATCAGGAGGCCATGCTTAGAAATGGATTATTCCAGGGTATGATTTCACAATTTACTACTATCTTAGTGATGACCTAATTATTAGTCTTGACCCCCCAGACTCCAAGTTCCAGGGAGAGCATGGCATGGCCTCACATATATATAGAGTCAATGTAGGGCAAATAAACACTATTATCTATTTTGTATAATTTTAACTCATAAAGTATGGCTACCTAGTTTATCAGGTCATAGCTCATCATCATCAGTCTCCCCAGCAGTTCCCTCAGCACATTTTCCCGCCAGTTGTGAATTTATCTGGATCTGATTCTGTTTTTCTTGGTTTTTTCTGGCAAAAGGAAGCTGCCTTCGTGGCGGAGGAGGCGCTGGTTCCTTCATGACTGGACGACAGGATGAAATTTTGTGACCTTGTCCCTGTACATCGCCCCTTTTTCCTTTTTTGACAGGTGGTGATGGTGGGCTGAATTCTTCATCCGTGGCTGTGTTATCTTCCTCCTCTAATGGTTGAGGCGTTGAGCGTTGCCCACCATCTGTGTTCTGATCCTCCTCTCGGCTATCCTGATAACCAGCGTTGTCGACTTCCATCTTCTCAAATTCATCCTCACTTTCCGATCCACTGTGCCCTAGATCCCGAGCTGCACGTTTTAAACGCTGGCCCTTATCGGTAGACCTACCATACCTACCTAATGTCGCTGCCCGTATCTCGGAAACTATATCTCAACACCGCAAGTCAACGAAATTAAATGCGTATGGCTAGAGAATTCTATTCAAGGCTTACCTTTGATTGGATCTACCTTTGCAGAAGCAAGAAGGCGCTGCTGGTTGCGAATTTTGAGCTTTTTTTCATTGAGCAATTGTCCGAAATCAGCTATGATCTGGTTTTCATGTTGACTCTTGGCATTGATCAACTCCTCAAGCTGTCTGCTGAGTTGGTGAATCGTGTTCTCGGCGGTGAGAAAACGATTATTCAAGGAAGAGAGCCGATGTTCAAGGGAACTTGCCCTTGCGACAGCGATTCCAGACCAATCGAAGAGCTCAATTGCTTGCTCGTCATCTTGTTTGAGGATTATAGTGCCGAGTTTTTGCTTTGATGGGGCTTAGACTAGAGCACGAGAGGTATTGCAGAGAAAAAGAACGTACTGTTATGGCTTCTATTTTTTTCCGTATTGTGAGAACCATCTCCTTGTCATCATCGCCGGAACCAGAGATACTGGCGAAGGCTTCGATACCAGAAGCCCAATCGGGTATACCGGCCGATGCTGGAAGTTGTCCAAGAACATACGACACTGTTTGAGTCCACTCATCATCACTGCCTTGGTAATTTTTTGCACGGAGGTTCTTGAGTCGAGACTGTCTCACTATCAGAAGTGCATTAGTGTGTTTGAAGATTTAGAATCACAATAAAATGAAAATTCAAGCAGGTCAGTGAGGATAATGCTTGACTGGACCGTACCGGTGGTAGTATATGGGGTCTCTCCTTCTGTGGCAGCTATGTTCAGATCCAGAAGGGTAGCATCGAAGCGAGAAACATAGAGAAGCACATGAGTATCTGGCTCATCGGTCCTAGGAATGCGCAGAATCTGCGGTGACGATGCAGGCTCAGGGAGTGACATGGTGCCCTGGTGATAGTGGTTGTTTGCACTACTTAAAGAACAATCAGTCGAGGAGTTTGTGTAGTTATTTGAGTTTCTGACTGACGCGCTCAGCCCATTGCTGCCTGTTGTCATCTGGTCAACGTCACACCTGTGACGCTATTCGGTATTGGTATCTTGTTACATAGGTAGCGATTTGATTTAGTGTCTACCGGGTACTTCCTTCCTCTCCCCTTCTCTCTCGCCCTCTTATTGATTGATTTGTTGGCACAGCACTGTTAGTTTTCTTCTGTGCTGCGAATCATGATCAATTGTGTCTAATACTTCAGCTGGATTTTCCCGGCAGAGATAAACTGAGTTCTGACAAAAGGCTGCTAGTGTGCAGACTACGCCTCGTGGCACTATGTGTAAGTCTTGGTATCTAGTTGGAGTATCTTACTTAGGTAGTTATCCTGTGCTACAATAGCTTGCATGGAGCATCTAGCCACAATAATAATAGTAGGTACACCGTACTTTGTAAGTTGTAACAAGTCCTCCTCGAGCAAAAATGATTTAACATGCAACATGGGTCGGTATTGCATGCATGATCCATGGCTATCAAACCCTTCAAACAAAACCTGGAAGTTTTGCGCCTATCTCACCAATACCAATAGTGCCCCGAATCCCGATCGACTGACTTACTACTATGTACCTGCAATATTCTGTGGGCCGTTTGGCTGTTCTTTCAATTGGACCGATTTATAAACTAGTTGCGCCTTTGGCCCTAGTCCAGGCCTTTTGGTCCTAATTAATAATATTAATTAATGCGTCTTCGGGGGGGCAACTGCGACAGGAACGATTTCAACGGCGTGGATCATCATCCTGAGCGTGCTGGCAACAAAATAATACATAGCTATTCTGTAGTTCTGAGTACTTACTAGATAGGCTCAAGCGGGTGATGAAGAGCCTGTTGTCCCCTTTATCATTATCCTTCATCATCTTTCCCCTTCTCTGATTCTCAAATTAAATGACAACAGTTGGTATTTCAAAAATCTAAACTACCGAGCTTTCGAGTCTATTGTCGTGTTTCGTCCGCGGACCGCGTACCTCTTTAGGTACGGAGTACTACGTAGGTAAGTTTCCGCCATCTTGTCCCATCACGTTCTTTCTCTCCCTACAGAAAGAATCTTCCAGCCACCATTCAAATTTCCTTTTCTTCAACCACACGCGGACTCTCGAGCGCTCTTGGAGCTTTGGAGTCTTGTGCTGCTCGTTTGTCCGCACGCTGGATTCCTCTTCCTCCGTACCACTCCGCTCCTGATCTCGGTGGACCGGAATTTGAATTCGATCTCATCCGTATGAGGCACGCCCGCATCATTTATCCCATCCACCTACGCACTCACTCGAACATCCGTAATCTGAGTTAATTCGCTATTATCACGCAAACACAGACAGCTGCCATCAGTAATACCCGAACAGACCGGTACTAAGATCCAATATTCACTTGTGTTGGATATCGAAGGGAGCAAACACCTCATCGCTCGTTCCTCGTCTACACGGGATGACGCTTCACCCTCTTTACAACCTAGTATCAGCACCGGAGAGCTCTGAGTCCGCTACTTAGACCAGTCGATTGGATCTATACCTAGTTTTCATATGAAGTCGTCGTATCATTTCTTCTATTGACAGGTCTCAGCATGGAGCCGTTGACCCTCCAGTTACGGCATGGTGATGAGGAAACAATCGAATGCTGGGACGACGATGGTGATTTACAATGCATTGAAGATATCCAATTTCGCACCGCGTCTAGCGCAACATCTGTCACTAATTCTTCCGTCCGTCGGTCTGGACACCGAGACTCGGTTTCCTCCCGTCGTTCTGCTCGCTCCGATATCGACTCCAATGCAGGTGGCGATGAGGACTGGCAGGTACAATTACATGAGAACGATGATCCTGTGAATGAAGAGGCTATTGCTTCTGCCAAAAGCGCCGGCATCCCCTTACCGACGAACGTTCCCAAGTCGGCTCTCATCGGGGGTACGATCAAACGTCTTGGACGGAAAAAACCCAAGAAGAACTTTGTTGATGATTGGTCCGAAGATGTCGAACTTCCAGGTCCAGATAGTATATTGCAACTGAAAACTCCCCGGGCGACAGTTTTTCCGGATTCGCTTCGACACATCAACTCTGCCGCCACGAGCCCGGTGAAATCTTCAGCTTCGCCTTTCTGGAACGATGATGTGTCAGTACGTCTGCAATCATCTGTTACAACACTGAATAGATTTCGAGATGAATATGACACTGGTGACATAGAAGATGTGCCCACAATCAAGGTTGCGAAATCTCGATCTCCACAGAAGGCGGTCCCCATAAGCGATTTCAGACCTAGCAGTGTGGAACAGGACGTGGAAAATTTCGATGATGATTTCGAACTGCCTGCGGATAACTGTCCTCTACAACTTTCGTCCCGAAAAACTAATACAAGGAACTTGAGCCCTGCCCCGGAAGATTTTGATGTAGACTGGTCTGAAGGTAGTATTGGGGTCCGGTTTGGCGGCACCGCGAGGGATCGTCGATCTAACCCAAGCTCCACGGTATCTGTCGTTAGCCCCAGTGTTTCGAGCTGTTTGACTGGTGAGAGTGAGGACGACGGCTTAGATGGTCTCGTTATTCCAGAAGGTCCCTTGAATTTAGAAACGTCTTTGAAAAGACAACAAGATCCCAAACTTACGAGCGTTGCGAGCCGTTCCAGATCAGCTCAAGACCCGGCTAACACGGATGATTTCTTCTCTGGGATTGAGATTGAAGGCGACGATGTTTTTACACCAGGAAAATTGTCACTTAATCCCAACGTCAAATGCAAAACAGAGCGCCCTGAAAGCCCGGTACGTCGTTCGGCAACTACCATCACTTTCACCAACACAGCAGTTTCTCCAAAAACTCGAATCCCACGTCTTCCGGGCCATGACCGTCCGCACTCGACACACCTTGAGACTGTCTCAGAAAGTGGTGCGCCTCTGTCTACTTTTCGGAGGTCACAGTCACGGCTTGGGGGTCATTCCTCGCATTCATCCATATCCAGTCTTCCTCATTCTGAAACCACGTCAGTTTCGCCTACTCCCATAACACCTGGCCGACGACTCGTTGGGACCCGAGTTTCGAAAAACTTGCTGGCTGACGAGCGCGCCCCAGCTGGCAAGCAACTCTTGAAAAATAAGCGATCAATGCCCGCCATGCGCAATATACATCAGGTCACCTCAACCTCATTCCAATGCTCGCCGTCTGAAGACGGAACAAGCCGGTTTTTAAACTCTAGTACTCGCCCCAAAACTCCCGTTGATCTCATGGGAAATGACACCAGGCCATTGACCCGCAGGCTCCAGGCGCCATTCATACCGGCAGGTGCATCGGAAAATCAATCACACCATGCCAAAGTCAAAAGTTACCGGAATTCACGCCGTACAAATTCGGATAGCTCCGGGGATAGCTTCAGTCCACAAGGGCCCGTAACCCGACTACCACGGCCAATTCGCCCAGAACCGTTTAGCAACAAGTCTAATCAAGATGCCTTAGCGGGCACTACAAAGCGTACTCTTACCAAACCAACCCGTCGACGAAATTTTGGGGATGGCACTGAATTGGAATCATTTGATGATTTGCCTACCTCTTTTTCAGCAGAAAGCCGATTTGTCAAGCACCCTATCGGTCGTGGGGCTCCAAGATCTCTCAAAAGTAAACTAAGTCAAAGTCGGATTGTACAGCCACCGATGGGTTCTCCACCTCAACCTCGCACGCCAGTGACACCTAAACCCCATGATGTTACTCCGAGGTTCGCACGCGACACCAACGCTTCAAGAAATGCCAGGGAGCAGCGCATTGCATCGATGACCATGAGCTTAAAAACTCGTGAGAACAATCCACTTGCGTCGCTCAGTTCGAACTGGAAAGCTCAAACGATCTCGCGGATGCCTTCGAGCTCCGCATCGATCAGAAGCAAGAAAAGAAAACCTGCCATGGTATCAGGCAAAGAGCCCCATTTGATAAAGCCCATGGGCGCTGGTGTTCAGGAGGCTAAATGTAAGTTTATGCTGCTATTCCAGCCAACTCATTACGGAGCTAACCTTGCTAGCCGTGAATGGCATGCGTTACAATCCCGTCACATTTTGCTGGGAGGGGAATGAAAACTTGGTCCAGGATTTTGATGCTGCCTCGCCCAAGTCTCCAAAACCAGCACCTGCCCTTATCACCAATGTTGGTGCAATGCAAAATGTGCAGGTGGTTGGGGGTATGGTTTTTGATCCACGACGCATGTGCTGGCTAAAATTGGCGTCACTGCAGCCTGGGAACAATGGATTAGTCGCGGTCCAGGATGAGGATGATGTATTTGCCGGTCTTGATGATCTGGAAGAAAACGCTTTAAGCAGCACTCCCTGTGCACGAAGCTCTGGAGCTTTTGATGACCTCGGTCTTGCGACAAGCGGGGATGAAAGAAGTGGTGGGGAGGAGTCAGACGAGTGGCCTATAACAGAAGAATTTGATGTTGGGCCAGAATTCATTCGACGCCAGCGGGCAGAAGAGGAGAAATGGAGACGCAAGGTCGATAAATGGGTGTGTCTCGGTCATGGTAATTTGGGGGATAGCTGGAGATGGACTATTCGAGATTTGGTAGGGTTCAGCGGTGCCCCAGGGGCTCAACGATTCAACGACAACTAAAACACGCCTCGGTCCGAGTCACGCCTTATATGTGAAAGATGAAGAAGAGGGGGCAAAAATGAATTGATACCCATGGATGCATTACTCCAAGACATTATAATGTTATGGGCGCATGTGATATCATGGACTCATGTGTATTGCTAATGTGCTCCAACTTCAAAAGTTGGTTGTTATGACGATGGAAGGGAATATCCATGCTAGCATGGGCTTGGGATAGTTTTTGCTTTCCACATTTCCCAGTCATGGATATCCCATACGAACTTATGATTTAAAGACATGTTTTACTTGGCCTTTATGATCTGGTCAGTATGATGATTTTTCGTTTTTTATCATTCTCATCTTTATTGCTTTCTTATTCTGTTCATTTTTTTTTATATTATGTCATTATCTAATCCTTCCGGTGTCATTGTTTTTCCCACGAGCAATAAGCAAGGACAATCAGGGCCTTTGTAACTATACATTGTTATGCTATATATAAATTCTGTAATTTAGCACTTTCTAAAATCAATAAATCTCTCGGACGATGGATATGCGAAGGCCCTGAGATAATAAAAGGCTATATTGACATATTCTTGACATCACTTCCCTAAATGACCGTAATGATTGAACCAGATTGACCGGGAAACAGAAAAGTAAGATACAATCTTGATTTAAGGCATATGCTAATTCTAAATCATGGCTCTGCTGTTTCTGAACAATGCCTATGCACTTTTCTATCACCTTAACGTCACACTCATTCTCACAGTACAGGGGTAGAGTATGTACTACCTTTATTGATTAGTTTGCTTGTTAATGCATTGTTTTCTTACTTGTTTGCTTTTCCTCCCCTGGAACCCTAGAAGAAAAAAGAAAAGAAGAGAAAAGAAAAACTGACTTATGCAATAGCAGGAGGGATTGTTTTTAGATAAGATCTAATATAAGTATACATAGTGTCTCTGTCCCATGTCAGTATATATGTAGTGGAGATAGGTACTATTTTTTATATATTCCAGTTAATAGGCAATTGTTCTCCTCACGTTCTCCACTACTCATCTACCTAAAAGGTACTAGTATGGTCATTTGACTGATATCTGTATCCATGACCATGCATATTATCAAATAAACAAACAAATATACCAATAGCCAAACAGATGCGATCCCACAGTTCCATGTTAAGATAGGCATTAAACTGTAGTTAACAACTTATATATACCTCTCTAGTCCACAAGATGAAATTTATGTATTTATATTTGCATCATGTACAAGGAGGCAAATAGCTTCAACTTATATGTGTACATGCTTTGGAAATAATATCAATATAGACACAAACAGGGTGCGAAAGAGCACAAGATGCCAATTCAACCATCAGACAAAGAAAGAAAGCTAGAGGTGTAATAACGTTGGACAACAAATTGGAAATGCGCAAGGGTATATAGTATTACCTTCAGGGACTTAATGAGAACCTCGCATGGATGTTCGGGTTCAGCCAATGCCAACGAGAGTGAGAGAAAGGAGGGAGGGGGGGGGGGGCAAAAACCAAACAAACAAACAAAAAAAAGAAAGAAAGAAAAGAGGCCAATTCCCGGTGAGATTGATTATGTACCAGGATAACTATCCAGCCCCATGATATGATGATGTCCATCAACTAGATACCTACTTACTATGTACAGAGTGTCATGTTATTATTGAATGTTAGTGGGTCTTTTTTCATCTCAGCAAATATCATGCATCTGCTCCGGTTACTTGCATAGAACGTAGTCTAGATGATCACCAAGTACTCCATATTGAAATGGATTTTTCTAATACTTCTCCGGGAAAAAGAAACGCCCTCAAGACATGTGTCATAAAGGTTTAGCAAAAGAAGGAAAGAAAGAATGAGAATGGATGACAAAGTGGAGATACTTGATTGAGCTGGTACATACATCATTTGCATACCTGTCTCCATCCGGAGTACAAATTATTTGTTGATTGATTTGCCCAAGCTCAAACAGAATGTGTTTTGTTCTGTTTGGCTTTTTTTTTTTTTGTCGTTGTGATTCAGGGGGCTAGGGACTAAAGCTTGTCATCATTCCGACTCGGAACGACAAATGATAAGTTGATAACAAATCGCCTCTAGGAAAGGTTCTAGCCCCTGCCACTGAGCAAACTGTCTCAAGAACAACACCGAGTCCTTGCGAATCCGAAAGCCACTGCTGATCGGAGAGCCCGTTTCATCGAATGATGGCCAAGGCGACAGTACAAGGAATATCGTTTTGATTCCCTCTGGTGGAAAAGAGCCAGCTCATACATACATACTCATTCAAATCGGATGACCGAGAAAGCAGCACCAGTCCTCGAGACTTAGAAGGTCGGATGTTCCCTGCAGAGAATACTTATGTACCCAGTAACATATCAGAGCTCAGTTCCGTTAACTTGCCTGTCAGTCATTGAGCGGTGACTGAAGAGGACAGCCAATGGTCCGGGAGGACTATGGTTACTGCATACTATTTTCGGAGACACGATGCAAAGGCCCAGCAAGCTTACCTTATCCATGGATGATGAAACAGGACTCTGGGCGTTGCCGTGACTAATAAGACTTGTTCTTGATTTTTGGGATGGACGTTCTGGCGCTCCAGGTGGGCTTGCGGGCAAGAGTCCCATCTTATTGGTTATCGATGATAGCAAGCGCTTAGGTTGTCATCTCACCCTGGGCTCACTGAAGAGCAGGCCCCTCAGTCGTTCTAACGTGGCGTCTACCGGAGGATACGGCGCTGCGATGGGATTCCTCAATGGGAGGATGACAATGGTTGTTCCGCTGCACAAGCGCCTTATGGGCTTAAAATGGGTTGTGAAGCAGTTGACTACACCACATGTACCGATTAGGTGACCCATGCCCTCTATAGGTTTGTCTGGGGAAGGACCAATCCTGCTGCATCCTACTTGTCTTGTTTATTCAACATTCTTTCAGCAGAACCCAATGTCCAGACTTGCACTACCCAGGATTGTTGAAAGGATCAAATGGCCTTGCAGCTAACACCCCTCCATTTCCTTCCCCGTCCCCGTCCTCGTCCTTTTCTTTTCTTTTTCTTTTTCTTTAATTTTTTTTTTTTTTCCATTCTACTAATGTTGAACCCTTGCCAGATCCACAAATAACTCTCGTCTTCATTGCATATTGCTTTGATGTTATTTATATTCCCTGTACCTTACAGCTTTTTGCTCTCGGACATCCGGCCCCCTTCCCCTCTAGCCAACCCCTTCACTCCTTTCGTTGCGTTTTTTGCTTTTTCCTTTTTCCATCTTCTTTCTTCCCTTTTTTACATCCTTGTGTGGGAGATGAAGAAAATTATGCTGTTACGCTTCCCGGGATGATCTCAGCCCCTCCCCCCCTGGTCGCTCGCTGATTACTTTGCTTCCGGGTAGGGTGTTAGGATCTCATGTATGACTGGTTCTTGAGGGCTCTTCATGCCCGCCATGCTGGGGCTCACAGTGAAAATAGATGGATTAAATAAAGCCTCGAGCTCTCAATTTACTTTATATTTTATTCGTGGCCCCGAGTGTCTATCCTCGCTTTGCTCTGTTGTCCATAGCCCAGCAGTTATTTACATTATTTCCCCTCCATTTCCCATTTCCCATTTCCATTGATTCTTCTTCCGTATACTACCTACAGAATCAAATCGCCCAGAGAGAGGTTGTGCTGACTTGTTGCCTTCTCTTTCTACCTTGCTCTTTGCTCTCTATCATACTGGTAACAACCCCCAACATCGATTGCTGGGGAAAGGACACATCAAACGTGCAGGTTATCATTCCCTTTTATTCCAATTACCACTACAGACTAAAACAACAGAGAAAAGAAAAAGAAAAAAATTGGCATCATTATCTGACGAGGGGTATATCCTCCTGTGGATTCGAGTCTTGCTTGAGGATAAATTGTGCATTTAAACTAGAAGATATCTTATCCCCTAACTACTAAGCATAATGAGCAGCTTTGGGAGACGCACCAATGATGGACAAGATAACTATCTTATGAACCAACAGACCGCACTGCCTGTTCCATATGGTCATGCAGATGGTCATGAATTCAGTGCTAATGGGTCTGGGCCATATCACCTTTCTCATCAACCCTTCAACTCATATGCACATCAAGTTAGCCCGCCATATAGCCAACATTCAAGTCTATCTTCTGCCACACAAAATCTTTCTCCTCACTACTCGCCTGTGCATTCAGTCCCGCCCACACCGGATCAAGCAAGGCCACAGTACCAGTCTCCGAATTATATACCTCAAACTCGCTACTGTCAGTCAATAAGGTATATACCTCTTCGCGAGGCGCTTAACGAAGCCGATATTGAAAGCCAGGAGTCGCGAAATGAAAGTACAATGCTGTCTGAACCAGTGATCCCGCGGTTGGATGGATTTCCAGATGTGAGGGAGTTTGATCAATTAATGAAAAGGTATTCATTAAAGCATCCACCCCTCCAGACCATTGATTGGAAATCATGCTTACTGAGCCCTTTTCTACTTCTTTCTGTTTTATAGTTATGTGGATGATTTGTCTGTTAAAAAGCAGGACAAGGCCCTAATCCACGCCAAAAGAGCACGGAACATAAGGACAGTCTTAATAGACCCAAAAGATACAGCCATAGAGTCCGCCCAGTTTCGGTATGAACAATTACCCTTCTTTCTGCAACTTATGAAGATGCTTCTTCAAGCTCCTCTTGATTGTTTCTGGATTTCTCTGAAACCAACTCGGCTTGTTTCAAGGCAACATGCTAAGAACAAATAAATAGGTTCTGGGTCAAAAAGATGTTCAAGCTTCAGGCAATTGAAATTGGAACATCAGACGTACGTATTACTCCCAGTCTTTCTGAAAGAAGCTTCATCATTTACATGAGTTCTTATAGTGCACGAGGATGATCTGCCATGAAGGAAAGCCAGTGGCAATTCGAGAAAAATTGTTTAAAATACTCACCAAGGCCCATCAGCAGTGTCAACACGGAGGCAGAGACAAAACATCTGCTCAGGTTCGGCGGATCTACTCATGGTAAGCAAAACCTTCTGACTCCGATCTGAGTCATGTGCCATATTTCATTGTGTCGGAGGTCCGAGGGGTGTTAACGGTCTTTGAAAGGGTACCAAAGGAGCTTATCTCTCGTTTCGTGAAGATTTGTCCAACTTGTCAAGTACGACGGGGTAGTTCACGCCTAACACCCCCTAACTCGAGGAGAGGCTCGCCCCGTCTTGACCTGATCTCCCGCTCTCCCAAACTCCCGTCACCCCCGATATCAAGGCGCGAGTCTATTTTCAACGGTCCGATATCTCTAGAGAGGCCGCAGGCAGATTACTTTGGCCAATTCGACGGCCACGGCAATTGGGTAGACAGTCAACAAAGTTTCCCTGGACGCTCAGGTATAAACACAGGGCCTGCACGTCCCTTCAGTATAGGGGCTATGGGAAGCCTGCCGAGCTCGGTTTCTACACCATTGGATGATGCTTTTACTGGAGAATTGTCGGTTCCATCGCACATTAGTTACAGCCCTGGCTATTCCTCCGGCCATGGGAGTGTGGATAATCGCGGCCTCTAAAGACTCAGAATTCTATACTTCACTTTGATAATAATACTGTTTCCTAGCATAGCATACTTGTATTGTTTGCGTTTTTTGTTTGTTTACTTTTTGTCTTGGGGGGGGGATGGCCAAGTCAATGATAAATGAATTGAATCAGTTTTCCATATGTAGTACCTATATCAGAAATCGAATAATGGTGCCACACATTGATATTCTAATATCAATCAGAAGACAAGCGCCAGCTTCCTTAACTCCAAGGCATAATATCTTGATTTATACTCCGTAACATTGCTAAAACCGGCGTGACCTTTATTTTGCAGTGATACATTGGAAGGCACATGAAATCAGAAGTACTGGTTTGTGGCATGGCAGTCAATATTCGAGGCTAGGCAGTCACGATGTTCTTCTAATAGCCCACCAAGCTCAAAGGTACACCATCACATTAGAGATACAAGCACAGACCAGGCTGAAGAGGTTTTCCATGACTCAACAGTCACCCCTGACCTTTTTATGGCCCTACTTGCAAATTCAGTCTTCCAGTGCTCTTCAGACAGGCAGTGAGAATTTTTTCCCTTTCATGACCCTGTAATCATTTATTTTAGTAGGATTCCACCATTAGGGCAGTTTGGCGAAGACTTACTTGTTATAGTAGATGTAAAAAAAATCTGAGTACAGAAGAGTTTGTATGATTCCTGCTAGTACAGGTATCGGTTGGAGTTGAAAATGGCCATCCGAAAAGTAACGATAAAGCCAATTGGGAATGTAAAGGGCCCTGTACAAGCCAAGGGCAAACAAATAATGTGTAGTAATGGTGTCCGCTTCCCCAGTTCGCTGTAACATGAAAAGCTGGGGAAGAATGGCTACGGATTCGAGCCAAATTGAGAAAGTCCAAAGAATCTAAGCACTATTCAGTCCTGCGTTCCGGTGGAAAGTGGATATTAAAGAGCACTGACCTCTGAGACACTATAATCATGGGGGAAAACAAGTGCGAACAAAGCACTGAAGCCGAGGAGATATTGAACCTTGAACGTATCGATATTAGGATCATGGGTTGGCTTGTAATCATTAAGCATGAGATAAATGATGTATGCCGAGGATGCAATGAAGAGAATTTTGAAGATGGTGTTGTATAATGAATCGGCAAAGGTCCAAAATAAATCTGGTCAATGTGTACATGTCAGGAGAGGGGTCTGTTGTCTGTCAATTGGGATTATAAACCTACCAAGATAGCGGGTTAGGAAAACCATCAAATACAGTGCTTGCGATTTGAAAGACAGGCCGGAACAGCTCTACAATCCAGTCAAGAATAGGCGCTATGAGCAATGCAATGTGAACGTACACTCGAAGACTTCATCTTTTGTAGCAGAATGAATATTGATGCGAGATGTGAGAAATCCGCTATTCAAAAAATTAGCCCAAAGAGCCAAATTATGCATAGGTATGAATTGTTAAATTGTGCGGCATACTCACCTAGTAATCTGAATATATTCATGATGGTGGATTTTTTTTTTTTTTTTAAAAAAAAAAAAAAAAATCGATTAGTTGTAGATTGATGGGAAGAGACGGATTCTTAGAATATTATGAGATAGTGGACGCTGTTGGGAATAATTTATCAAGGTTCAGTGTCTTGCTGGAGACCGACATGGAAATCAATACAAGGTATTGACTTTTCCTGTGGCTGGACTCGTGAACTACTTGTTAGTAGCATACGAGATAAAAGCAACAGATGTTGACACGAAGCCTCAAGGATACGCGACCAGATTGGCCCCACCCTACGCGTGACTGTCAAACCATAACTACAGCAAGTACAGTGGGTACTGATACATTATCAAATAATTAGTTAGCCTGTAGAGTGGGCCGGCGTGCATACCTTACACTAGGGTGCAGGAAGTCCTGACCTGGTAAATACTGCCAACTAACACCGCTTTTTATTAACTAATGGTATTCAATTATTCTGCCAGTCCAAACCTCTGAAACTAGTATTTTATATACCACCTGTTCATGTCAATAACTATATATACATACAAGTGTTAACGGCTGCGCCTTGCGCGGCCTCTTACATGTGATAAATAAATATCTAAGTTCCTAATATCCTATACTAGTTATTATTATCTCTTTAAAAAAATTAAAAAAAAAACTATATACAATACCTTCTTTAGTAAATAGTAAACTACTAATATAAAACCTAATATATCTTATAATCACCCTAAGCTAACTATAGAATCCCTTATATAGTACCTTAATTCATAACCTCTTCCTAGCTATATTTATCTATAGAGTTCCTAGCCTAGTATTTATAGGCAGTCTCCTCTAGGGTAATAGTTAGCCCTATATTAGGATATTATTAAATACTATTAAATATTATTAGATTTATTAAAGTGATTAGGCTAGTTTAGGGATAGCTTACAGCCTTATATAACTAGTATTAACGTAGGAGTAGAGGGACTAGTTATCTTAAACTTCTTCTTCTTTTACTTATTATTAATAAAAGTTTTATTAGTAGCTTATTTACTAGGGTAAAAGGAGTAATATAAGCCCTTTAAAAGAGAGAGTTCTATATACTAGTTCTACCTATTACTTATAAGTATTAATACTTACTAGGAGTAGAAGGGGTACCTATAGTTATAGAACCCCCTTTATAGGTATTAGGGAGATTAGATATATTCAAGATTTCTATATAGATAATATAATAGTTATTCTAAAGATATAAACTAACTAATTAGGCTAAGATCTCTATAAAATAGCCTATATAAGGTATTTAAGAGTTGACCTAATAGGGAGTCCTAGGGAAGGTATAGAAAATTAAGAATATATTATAATTTACCCCCTATCTTCTCTTTAGTTAATATAGGAAGTTATACTTAAGATAAATATCTTATAACCCCTAGTATTAGTATAGTAGGCTATAATATAGCTAATAAAATATAGCTTTAGGTTATATATAAGAGGTAAGGTATTATAGTACTTATCCTTAATTAGATAATTAGGGAATCTAATAAGAGAGACCTTAATTAGTATAGTAAAACTATAGGGAAGAGAGGGAGAGACTTATAAGGATATATTATCTATATAGATAAATTTAGAAAGCTACCTACCTCTTTAGAGTTTAAGATAATTAATTACTTATCTAGGATTATAGCCTACTAGATATAATATAGGATAGTAAACTTATTATAATAAGTAATACTATAGGCTATCTCTTTAGGAACTACTAGACCCTCTAGGTATTTATATATTAGGCTATTATAAAATATAGTAAAATTTAGAAGTACCTTTACCTAGGTAAGTATAGGGGCTTTATTAATAACTATTATAATAGTAAAGTTATAGTAGGTTATACTAGTAAAGTAATTAATAGCTATAATAAAGGGATATAAGTAGTAATATTATATAAAGAAAAGGTAAATAGAAAATAATAAGTAAAGTATAAAATACTAGCATGTCACACGAGTTGAGTTAGAAGGTAGGACTTAAACTTATGAGTAGAGTTAGGGTTTAGGACTTAAACTCATGCTAAGAAGAGTAAGAGTAGAGTAAGAGTCTATATTTTTACTATATTTTACTGTATTTTTAAGCCTCCCCTATATAAAATAGGTGTATTTTTAGTATTATAAGTAGAGTTTTAAAATATTTAGAGCTTGAACTTATAGAGTAAGTCCTAAATCTTAACTTAACTCATATTATAAGTCCTGAATCTTAACTTAACTCATATTATAAGTCCTGAATCTTAACTCAAACTTGCCTCATTACTCAAACTCTACTTGTTACTCATGAGTAAACTCAACTCATGTGACACACTATAGAGGATAACCTTACCCTAAGATTATAATTAAGTATAGAGGGTATAGTAAATAAAGGTCTTCCTAGTACTATTAGGGCTATAGGGGAAGAAATAGGTATTATAAGGATCAGAGAGTTAAGAAAGACTCTAATTATATATTACTCTTTAATCACTATTCAGTATTACCTTATATATCTTAGTATAGTTATATTATTAGTTAATATTATAGTCTAGTTCTAATTATAATAAAGGATCATTAATTAACTCCCCCTAGCAGCCTTTATATAAAGGTAAATTATAATTAGTGAGAGATTTATCCTCTATATGGAGGTACTCTCTAATAAGGAATAGACTATAATTAAGAGAAGGCTCCTTAAGAGTAGGATTATAAGATAGCTAATAATAGGAGATCTCCTTAATTAAATATTTATAAAGAAACTCCTTAAACTTATCCTAAATTAGATGGGTATTATCTAAATCCATATAGAGTATAGTATATATAAATATATAATATAACTCCTATCTAATATAGAGTATAATTACTTCTTAAAAGTAATATCTCTACTTATTATCCTAAGGAATAATAGTATAGATATAATAGGTATCCTAAAAAGTATTAAAGAGTGCTATATAGATATATATAGTATAGCTATTAACCTCCTAAATAGACTTAGATATATTATAAGGCTTAAAGGGAACTTCCCCTAGGGCTAATTTTAGAGTATATAAATCCTTATAGCTCTAAGGTCCCTTTATATAGGTAAGGAGGAGATAAAGATAGTATACCTTATTATATAAAGGACTTATAAAAATAAAATAAATAGAACTAATTTAGGTAGTATTTTATTACTAAAGCTTCTAATATTTAATTTCTACCTAGGTTAGGTATTCTAGAGCCTCCTAATAAGTAAAGCTAGTATTTAAATAATCCTAATAGTACTTAAAGAACTTAAGTAATATTAAAGACTAGGTATTAATAGTATTATGTCACTGATAAAGGTGCCGTAACACCCCCTTTTAATAGTGTACTTATTAGACTAGTAAATATAGGCCTAATCTTATTCTATAAAGTTTTAATGATCTATAGCCTAAGTAAGGCTTTTTTTTTAGTATGAATTTAACTAATTTCTAGATATTTAAGCTATATCTATTTATAATAATCTATCTTATATAGTAGCTTTTAAATTAAGTCCTTTTTAATAGTGCTATTAGCATTATTAACTAATTTATATATTTTAATATAAGGCTAAGTTATAATAAGATTATATATATAATCTCTCTACTCTTTAAAGAGCTAGTGTGGCCATCTAGAGTATGGTAAAGTTATATTATTAATATATTTCTTTTCTAGCTAAATTATTAAGTTAATTATATTAATAGGGATACTTATAATAAATTTTTATAGGGCCCTAGCTAATAGAATAAAGCTTATAGATCCTTAATCTAAGCTCTAAAGAGAGCTCTTAATTTTATTAATGAAGCATTTAATATATAGATAATAATAATATACATTCTCTACTGCGTGTTGGTTTATATATAAGTTAACTAGGTAGGCGGTGTAGGAAATTGGTGAAAGGCGGTCGGAGGACCAGGTCAGGACTTTGTGCATCCCACTGTACCAAGTTACCAAGCTGTTACTGCCACATAGTGGCATACTAGCAGCTGTTAATTTTATGCCTTGTACGTAGTAGTACCTTATCACTACTAGGTAGCACTTAAAGTAGTACACCATGCTTCAGATCTGCATACTTCATACTTTAGGCTTTTGGGAGTTAATATGGACGTACTCTGCGTGCGCGCTAAGCTTCGCATTATTCAACTAAGCCAAAGCAGATGATAATGATATGATGTATGGATTCTTTACTCTAGGTCATAGCTCTTAAGAGATGCTCGACCCATGTTATTATATAAAATATGTATCCGAGGCTCCATAGAATCGGATCAATGCACCTATTCTTGAAATTGATGAGGATATCCAGACATTGGAAAAAACTACCTCTCCAAAGACCAAACAAAAAACATTCAGAAAGTCGTCCCAACGCCCACACTTTCACCATCCGTTATGCGCTGCAGGTGTCCATCTGCCAACTCACTTTTCAGAGCGCTGATGGCGCTTTCTCTGTCTAGCTTATCCCAGTCTCTCATGCCAAATCTCTTCAATTTTTGCCTCTCAGCAATTTGCTCAAACAGTCTTTCTTGGTCGGCTGCTAGCTGTGACAAGCGCCTTTCCATAGTTGGTTCTAATTGAGACAAAAAAAACTTGCCCCCCGGAATGATTGAACAGAGACCTGCGAGATGGTTGGTGAGTCTTGGGGCACGAGGATGAGTGGTAGGGGTGACACTGCTCTGGCGATGAACAGACTGCCGACTGGTCTCGACTCCGGATCCAGTCGGCGTAAAATTACCACGAGGACCCGAAGGAGCACTGGGAACAGGGCCGCGACGTGCTGAACCTCCTGCCCAGGAATTTTCTCTAAAATTTGATGCCCAGCGAGGGCGGGTCGGAGCCGAGAGCAAAGAAATATTCGGTCCACGATTATGGGACGAAAATGACTTCGAGCCATGGGAAGGGCCAGACGGTGGCAATTGAGTCGGTAAAAGGTATGCTTTGGGTTGGCTTGGGGTACTACCAGATGCATGTGTAACATTCGACTGAATCGATTCCATTTGTTGTTGGTTCTCCAGAGACCGAGTCACCCCATGACTTTCTGGGTCTCGCCTGCTCCCCGAGGATATAACGGTGTGTTCATCATTAGGAGATATATGTCTCGTCCAATCGCGACCAAATGCTTGATATTTCGCCGGATGGGTTCGTTCTTGGTAAGGGGGTGAGCGATCAAAGGGCCTAGAAAATGGCCGGTGTGGTATGGATGAGTTAGCTGGAGATCGACTCCTAGAATCGAAGGGCTGTGAGTTGATCCGGTCAACGTGACTGAGAGGCGATGAGCGTCTAGAATTGGCAATCGAGCCCGGGGTCGATGTTTGCACAGATGAGTTGCCCTTTGAAGGGGATGGTGAACGCCTCCTTATGGTATCTGGATAACGCTCTCTACGTCCACCTTGAAAAGGACTTCGGGACCGAGGCAAGAGTGGTGCATGAGAAACATTTTCCCCGGAAATATTACGCCGCGACGGCGAAGCGGGCTTTCCATATCTGTCGCAAGTCGACGATGCGATACACTCTCTTTTGAAAAACCTGAAATCCTGACTAGGCGGTGATTGGTCACGTAAACGTTTTGGTGTAGTTCGGCCCCAGGAAGCGTCACGGGTGCGGCTATCACCGAAGGGAGATCTTGGACGCCAGGAGGTTTGCAGCGGAGAGCGCGCTCTTCCATCGCGTCTGGGTGAGAATCTTCTAGGGGATCGTGTTCTCCCGTAAGTTCCAGCACAAGCATCTCTGTTATGGAAAGAAGGGCTTCGAGAGCGACGCCGGAACGCTGGGGGTGAACGACTTCGTAAACGATCGTAAACGCGACTATTTGATGGCACCCACGTATCAGCAACAAGGCGAGGCGACCGATTTCGTGGTGGTGATCTGGCGTGGCGGATATAGCCTCTAGAGGAAGAGCGTCCTGATCTGCCAGTTGGGCGATAACTCTCACCCCCACGGCGATCATCAAACCTGAAGTTCAGTGGCATTAGCTGCTGTTCATAGAAAGTCTGTCGCACCTTGGTCGGTGAAAATATTTAATATATGATGTTGATGTATATGCAAACCTTCTATTGCGGTCCCAGTCCATCCTGGAATCTCTCTATATCAATATTTCTTGGGGTTGCGATTCACCAACATTAGACAATCTAAAAATCAGGCAAATAGAGAAAGTGCACTTGATAGCAAATAAGGAAAGATATATGGAACTGAGGTGAAGATATTGGATTTGAAAGCGTTCTGTATACCTAACGACTTTCAAGTAAATGAGGACGTACCTAGGTAGATAGGTCAGTACCTAGTTAATTACCTCAAGTGGTGTTAGATAAGGATGGAGTAGAAATGCCACGTGACCAGCCAGAAGTTGCATGTGAATGATACACCTTTATATGAACAACAGCACAACATATCTAATGAGAGAAAGGGTTTTATCATGCTATACTCCAGCACATTTCAGCCCTCATAAATAAAATATCCAAGCGAAAAGCGAGATCTTATACAAAATTTAAACTAAATGATCTATCTAGCTATTACCTATCTGGCTGTTACCCGACATATCAACAACCCAAGCCAGAAACTTCATTTTGATAGTGAATAACATTCAATGTTTATTTCTTCTTTCCTCTTCCTTCCTAAATCTTTTTCGGCTTTCATGTGCAATCATATCACTAAGATCCTCCTGGAACTCCCAATTCGGGTTGGTTTCTTGCTTCCTTTGGGATTCGTACAGATCCTGTAAGCCTTCTTTGCTAATCCCATCACTGGCTTGCAGTGAATCTGGGTCCACGGACACATCAACATCGCCAGGCTTTTTGCGTTTCCGGTTTTGTTCCTCAGCCCCTAGCAGAGGGAGATTATGTGAGGATGTGTTCAAGTCATATGCTCTGTCACCCCCAAAGAATCCCTGGACTTGGGTCTGTCGCTCAGGAATGACCTGGAAAGCATTTCTGGGGTGTGTAGGCTCCTCAGATTGAGTCCCACGATGAGGTTTCCTCACGTCGAATTCCCCTGTAACTCCCTCTCCCGTGAGTTCAGATGGAGCAGCGGATGCTATGCCACTTGGTGTTTCCAGGCCACTGGGCGTCTGAGTTCCCGCCTCCTCATCCTGTTCATCTATCTCTTCCTCATCTTCATCATCTTCCTCGCTATCTTCGTCGGAATCTTCCGGTGCCTGCAATTCGCCCCAAAGGTCTCTTTCAACAGGCTCGCCTTGCTGGACATTTTGCTGCGGTTGCAATATACCAAAAATATCACCACCGTAGAGAGGTCTATTGTGCTCATCCACAGGAGGTTTCCCATATCCGCCAGGATGATACCCCCACATGGCTCCAGGAGGCGGGGGTGCATTCAGACCCGGAATTTTCAAAGCTGGGTAGGACGGAGGGGGTCCATACCGCTGTTGATTTATTAGCCATGGGGGCGGCGCACCAGGTGGCATATTGAGTGCTTCTTTGAGTTCGTGGCTTAGCTCGCCCGGACGCAAATGTCTGAGGTTGGTTTCATATTCTTTTCCTTCGTAGTAGACCTCACCATAGCGAGTGAGTTCAGGTTTTGTTTGAAAGCGGAAAAACGCCTCATATAGCTTTTGATAATCGATGTCCAACCTTCCCATTTTAGGCTGAACTCTCTCTCTTTGTTTCTGCTTCAGCGTCGCTTGCTCTTGCTTCTCTAGAGCAGCATCACGCATTTCTGAAATTCCAGTCTCTTGGATGAATTTGGGCAGAGAAAATGGTGCCTTTTCAACTCCCCTTTTCGACGACAAGTATTCTCGCTTCAAGGACCAGTGAGGAGGAACAGGGACAACATTTCGATGAGCTTTGATGTGAACCAAGAGCCGCGGATCAGGGGCTGATGTGTCCGTCCACTCAACTATCTCTGGCTTTCGGACCATAGCTTTGAGCTCAGCAACAGAAAGCTTGTTCAGCTCTTTGCGCTTTCTCTTTGATAGTTTTGGTTCGCCTTCTTCATCTGGTATTTCATCGTCGTCGTCAAAATATACTTCTGGTTTTTCAGGCTCTTTCAACGTCGGTCCATCTTCGGCTTCATCAAATTTGCTGGCAATTTCTTGGTACATCTGCCATAGAGGATCACTGGGGTCTGGGGGCGGAATTGACTGTGGCTCAATGCTTGAATTGGGAGAAACATGCGCTTCATCGTGTTCAGACTTTGCATTAGGTGTGTCATGACTGGGCTCTGTAGCCTTTAACAAAATGAAAATCAGTTTAATGCGTAATGAATAGTAGAAGCGAGGATTCTTACACTTTTCTGAGCCTTTTTCCTTGCCCTCCTTAGCTGATTTTTGCCTGGTTTCATTATATTGCTTGTACTTCGTAAAGGGATGAAGGCTTCCTCAGATAAATGTAATAAGGGAATTCACGATAATTCCAGGAGATGATAGTAGTGTCTTACACTGAGTCTTCTGGGTATGGTAATCAGTAGCAGAATTCCTGGCTTAGGATATCGCAGTACAAAGTAGTTAATGGTTTAATCATGTTGCACCCGCGCTGTTTCTTCTAGCGTACTTCCAGGTTTGTACCTGTATGTTACATTATCATACTCTAGGTCATGTGACTTTATATCCGCCCTCTGGAAGGTACATACTCACCAATCTACATGGAAAATAACTCTCAACTTTTGTTTCAGGCTTCTATTCCAGTCAAAATATTGATTCATTTTACAAATACATCTATATCTTGATGTATCTCACTCCAGTACCTACCTAGGTACCTAAAACGTAGGTGTGACTCAGTTTCTTGACCGCCCTTCGCACCGCCTATCTATGTAATTATGTACAGCCGAGTATACCTACATGATCACCTACACAGTCGAGGTATACAGTGCATGACAAAAAAAGTCCCAACCTACCTAGGCACGTACCTAATTTTACTGTCATTTGATACAGCTCGTAACAGCTCAATCAAAACCCACTGATCTGCCGGCAAAGCCATCCATGGATCCTCCATTTACCTTATGAGATGTGTAATTTAAATTACACAGGCGGTGGGTAAGGGCGGTCAGAAAACGGGTCAGGACCTTTTACCTCCCACTGGATCTGGACTACCTACATTCCATGGCAGTAAGTACAGGTACTTACATACCTAGGTAGGTAAGTTCCATCTTAAAGCACTGTACCTAAATAGGTAGGCACAGGCACTGGGCTATTGTATAACCTCACCCCTTGTCATATTGGTTGAGAGATATCCATTCCTTGGGATCCGTGTTGAAATTCCGGGACATCTCGGGGGAAATGTCTGAGTGCCATACTATTAGGATTTGCCTTTTAGGTGTAAGCACCCATGGGCCACTAGTGCATTCGAACTCGAGGGGAGTTCTCGGAATCCCAAGAAACCCGCGGCGGGTCATCATATCGCTCATCGTTGTCGGGAAAGTCTAGCTCTTTCCTGGCACAAATAAAAGACGGCAGTTTTTCCAAATGAGAGAAACGGGAACAGTAGCAACACTTTAGCTGTCTCTGCCGTAAGGCTTTAGGTTTTCTTTGGGGATCGGACATCCTTCTATACTCTGTGCTATCAACTTTTCCAATTTTATTCAATAGATGTGGAATAGGTAATAAGTACTTAATCGGGTAAGAAGTAGTCATATAATCCATTCGGTACTCTAATACGGAGTACTACCAGCTTCCTGATGCTCCATGCGTACTTAGGTATCTATATGTGCACCATGGGTACTTACGGTTGGCGCCCTGGCAAAAGTAACAGAAATTAAATGCGAGATCAAATCATACTGTCTGAACATGGCAGGACACCTATACACACAATGTACTAAGCAACTAAACAGCATACAGCATAGAATGATTAACCGCGTAGTTGACCTTCGAAGATGTCTTTACCTTCCTAGTGAGCCACAATAAACTTATAATAATAATTGAATTCTAGAAGTCAAACAGCGACTTGGACAGAGCATGTTACCAAGATTTTATTTTTACTTATACTGGGAGAAAAAAAAAAAAACATCAGACTACATATTACATTAGCTGTACTTGCATACGCTTGGACATACACGAAGGCTATGCCTGTCATTAGAAGAGTTATGAATAATTGAGCCGCCAATGAGAATATTCTTGATGTAAATTGAAGCGCTCGCCAGCCCATGTAGGACAAGTAATGTACAATGATTCGACGCCTGTATTATTCCAGTTACTTTCGAGGTATTAGCTGATATTGTGGCATCGTTTGCGGGGTTAATGAGCACTATTTCTTCTTCTTCGCTGATCTGGATTCTGTAGAAATAGAAACATTAGGAATCTCACTTCGTTCTCTCGGGCCCAGTGAACATTACCTGCAGCTGTCCTTTTCTTCTTCGGTCTACCTTTCCCTCGCAATTTCGCGCTGCAACGAGTTAGCAAGTTCGTATATGATATATTGATAGAGGATGTATACATACATTTGAATTGCCTCCTCCCTATCGTCCTCGGCTTCATCGAAAGTTGTTAAACCAATGGGTTTATATGTATCTTGCAAATCTCGGAATGATACTGTTTTTTTGGGATACCATGCTGCAAGCGCCGGTCCACGCAGTCTCTGTCGTAAGACCTTATTTCCTAAACGAAGTCTTTGCGGGTTGAAATTCAACGAGAAAATACGACACTGGGCCTAGAAGGAAATTTTCTTGTTAGAACTTGAAACCAAATAGCAAAGAAGAAGAGAGAAAGGGTTCTAAATCGTTATACTTTGACCAGGTCTAATATTCGATGAGATGACACCGCCATCTTGGAGTAGCAAGACGATGATAAGAGTAAGTCGACTACGCTCCTGTATTGATTGACAATGTGTTGGTGTCACGTGATATGAGCGTATGGTACCATACCTACCTAGGTAAATACCAGCGGAGTTAGGTAGAGGTTGGCTCACAAACAAGGTAGTTGTAACTTTGGAGTTCGCTTTGCATGTATGCGAGCATATGGATTCGAAACGAAAGTCAAGCTGTACTTCCCCAGCCAATCATCAATACAAAAGAGTCAAGGTAAAAATTACACCAGAAAAAAGTGTCCCTGCATGTTGACTAACTTCATCCACTCTCATCCGAAGATTGATCATTTAAATGACTCATCACAGGAGCGATCTACAAAGGTGCTCTCAGTCAAACAAGACGAAGCTCGATCTCGCCTCGATCTGCTAAGGAAATTGGTTCGCGAAATTAATGACAGTCATCAATCTTTCCAACACCATGCCGCCGAGGCTGGATCCGATATCATGCTAGCGACTGCCGAACTGGATAAAGCATTTCGTCTTCCAAGAAACTCGCCGTCGCTTTTGGCATCGCCTAGTATTTACTGCCCAGAAAAGCCACGTGAAATTTCTGAGGAAGCATCATCAGGGCATGAACGGGAACACAGTTTACCTAAACTACCGCCTATTGTCGATCCATTTCTTGAGAAGGCTGTGTTCACACATCCCGGTGTGAGCAACGATACTAAAGGCTCTTATGACCGACTCGAAATCCTTGGGGACGCTTACATCGAACTTATGGCTACAAAATTGATTTGGAATAGATTTCAGGAGCTTCCTTCCGGTCGGATATCACAGATACGGGAGCTTCTAGTTAAGAATGAAACCCTTTCTGAGTATGCGACCAGCTATGGCTTTGATCGCAGGGCTTCGGTGCCACATGATTACTTGACCCAACCTAGGCGATGGACTAAAACAAAGGGTGATATTTTCGAGGCTTATGTCGCTGCTATCATACTTTCTGATCAAGCCAATGGTTACAGGCAAGCTGAAGAATGGTTAACGCAGCTATGGTTGCCAAAGATCGCTGGCTTTGGGGTCCAGGCGTCAGATATGCAAGGTAAAGAAGCACTGGCAAAGCAGATAATGGGTAAAGGAATCAAACTCAAGTATGTTGATGAAAAACCCCCTCTTCAACTGGGAAGAGGGATGCAGAGATTTTTCATTGGGGTATATCTTACAGGTTGGGGGTGGACTAGTAAACATTTAGGCTCTGGTCAGGGTCTCAATAAGACAGCTGCTGGGGATGAAGCAGCACGTCAGGCTTTGCTGAATGAGTCTCTCATCAATGAGATTGTTGCAAAGAAAAAGGCATGTAGGTAGAAGATGGAATAATGTTATTTAGAGTATGCCAAATCTCAAGTACATTTCAGCCACATATGAATTCACATTTATGTATTTATGGTAATGTGGCTTTAAGATAGTGTTCTCTGATGGGGGGTTTGGGAGGTTTAGCAGTTGTAGGTCAGCATGGGTTTACTGAAAAGAGCAACTTAACTAGGTAATATTAAGTAGACAGTTATTCCTTCATCTGGTGTTTTGTTCATTTTAGCATATTTTATAGCCTTGGCACTCCTGATTATTAGTGGCCGCCTGACCACCCACCGCCTCTGCTAGTGGGTGGTCAGCAATGTAAAGGAATTTTCAGTATAAAGGAAAAAAATAAAGCTATTCATATTTTTCTTACTAAGCTCTAGTAGAATCTATAAAATAAAGCTAATTAACTAATTTTCCTACTAATTCTCTATATAAAGCTATAGAATTATTTTCTTCTAAAGGTATAGATAGGAGATAGCTATATATCTCTTTATAAGCCTTATCTATCTTCTTCTTATCACACCCTGGGATCTTGTAATGGTACCTGACCTGTAATCTGTGAGTTAAGCTGGGAGAATACTAACCTATAACCCTAATCTAAGGATATTAATAGTAACTGGGGTGCTCCTATAAGCTATAGGTACTTAAGAATATAGTAAGGTAGATAAGGAGAGAAGTAAGGCTAAAGAAGAATATATACTTCTTTAATTAAGAGATATATAAATAAGTATATATAAAATAATTAAGATAGCTAATAAAGGTAACTATAGAATTAATAATTTTATTAATTATAGAGAACTATCTAAGTATATAAAATAAGTATCCTTATATATCCTTTATTAAGGATGCTATCTTATATACTACTTATAGTATTCTACTAGGTATCTATATACTATATTATATACTATTTATAGTATGTTAAATAGTATTCTATTATATAATATAGTTAATTATTAGATAATAGTTAAGAAGAGTATTTTATAAGTAATTTATAGTTCTTTATAATAAGAATATCTATTTCCTTTAACTATCTAATTCTACTTAATATAGTTATTAATAAAGGTACTATAATATAATCCCCCTCTTCTAGGATTATTATTCTATAATAATTATAAATTTATTATATCCCTTATTTAGGTAAGTTTCCTATTAACTTTTTTCTTATTTTTCTAATAACTTATTATACTCCTTATTATATTTCTATTTATAACTAGTTAATTTTAAAAATAAGTTTATTGAGCTAATAAAATTAAAGAAACTGGTTATATTATTAATAATTCTTATAAATACTATTTTTTTAGAAGGCCTTCTTTATATTATAGATTTAAAAAATTATAACTATACTATATATACTTATTATAGTTATAAATATAAAAAATGATTTTATAATAATAAGGAGTAAAATAATTTAAAATAAAATAAGTAATAAATCTAGAATTAACTTATTAAGGTATTAGCTAAGTAGGCCTAAATTTTAGTAAAGGTTACTTACTTATTTAAATAATAATAATTTCTTAAAGAGTATAATAATAGGATATTAGATTATAATACTATTATAATAGACTAATTAAATAAGGAGGATCCCCTAAGTACTAAGAATCTTTAGAAGTGTCACACCCTGGGATCTCACAATGGTACCTAACCTGTAAACTGTGAGTCAAGTCTAGGAAATACTAACCTATAACCCTAATCTAAGGATGTTAACAGTAACTGGGATGCTCTTATAAGCTATAAATACTTAAGAATGCAGTGATGTAGTTAAAGGGAGAAGTAAAGCTAAGAAGTATATATACTTCTTAATTAAGCTAGAGATATATAAATAAGTAGGTAGAATAATTAGAGTAAGTAATTAAAAGGTAACTATAGATTAATAACTTATATTAATTATAAAGAACTATCTAAGTATATAAAATAAGTATCCTTATATATCTTTTTCTAATATCTATTATCCTTTAGATAGTCCTCTATATAGTATGCTAGTGGTATACTATTCTATATATTAAGGTATATACTATCTATAATAGTATACTAAATAGTATATTTACTAAGATATAATACCTATATACTATATTATATAAGTATGGTAGTGTCCTGCTAGATAGTAGCTATAAAGAGAGCTATAATAGTAATTTATAATTCTCTATAATAAGAATATCCTTTTCCTTCTTGACTACCTTATTCTGCCTGATACAGTCACTGATAAAGGTGCTGTAACAAGAAGCTAGACTATCTTATTAATAAGAGGCTACTTAACTTACTACTATATTAAATAATTCTAGTCTAATTTAGATATTAAATTCCCCCTCCTTCTAGGTTAACTTTAATCTATTTACTAATAGAATTCCTTTACTAATTAAAGGTAACCTATTAAGTTTAAGATAGGTTCCTATATATTTTTGAAGGTATTATAACCTTTCTATTTTATTAGATAAAGTAGTTTATTACTAAGTTTTTAATATCTTAAGATTTTTTTAACTTTATATTCTTATTTATTATTATTATTAATTTCTATATATCTTATTAGTTAATATTAGCTAGTACTAGTTCTAATAATAAGATATAAAATACTAGGTATATATATTTTATTAATTTAGATAGTTATAAATAATAATTAACTAGTCCTATTTTTTCTTTAACTATAAATAGTCCTAATTTTTAATAGTTAAGTTTTATACTTAGTTATTTTATCTTAATATTTTTATAAAATAAGAATACTTTCCCCCTCTTTCTAAGATCTAGTCCTTTATTATATTTCTTATTATAGTAGGTAGCTATTTATAAATTTATAAATTCTAAATCTATTAAAAGTTATTAATAGTACTAGTTAATTATTATTACTAATTATTTAGCTTCTTCTAAGCTTAATTCTTATCTAACTAGTTTTCTTATAATATTAGGGTGTTAGTAGTAATTTATATAAAATAGTATTTACTTAGTAATTAAGTATACTAAGTTATTAAATATAAATTATACTAGAGGTAGTAGTTTACTCTAGTTATCTTATTAATAGTTAATATAGTATTATAAATATTATTTAATTATCTAATTAGTTTATTTATTTTATCTGTTTACTTATAGGTAATAAATAGTAGTTAACTAGTAATTTACCTTAATTAATTTTATAAGTAATATCTAGAATTTTAAGGTAAAGAGCTTATATCTATTTAAAGTAATTTTTTATAGTAATCTATAGTTTATAATAATATCCCTTATAAATATAAATACTATTTATTTTATATTAAGTATACCTACCATTAGTATAAGTTAAATATATTTAGTAAGTTAGTAAAAACTATAATAGTATTTTAATTACTGAAGGGTAGTAATTAAGTAATAAAATCTATTATAATCTATTCCTATAGTTTCTTTAATAGTTCTAATAATTATATTTTCTTATATAGTTTATATCTTACTAGTTTATTATAAATATATATTTTATAATTACTAGTATATTTATATACCTTTACTTTGAGATATAGAATATAAAAGTTCTTTATAATATATAGTAATAACTTTAGTTAATATACTCTTAGGTATATAGATAAGTCCTTTAAAATATATAAATTTATTAATGTCCTTAATAAATCTAGTATTATCTTTAAGTTTTCTAAGAATTCCTTAAATAGTTTAATTATTTATTATTTCCTTAATGAGTTACTATTTAAATCTATTAATTTTAATCTCTATTATAGCTATAATTTAATATTAGTAGTTATAATTAAGACTACTATCTTTATTCTATTTTAGGACTACTAGCTTATAATATTTTCTATTAAATATATAGTCTAATTATTAACTAAGTATATCTATCTACTTAACTATTCTCTATTCCCTTATAATGTATATTATAAAAGTTATATTTTAAGAGTATTTCTAACTATCTTACCTATCTTTATATTAACTCTTTAGTTATTATAAAGAAGGTAAGGTTTTTATAATATATTTTAATAAGAATTTAATATTAAGTTCCTTTTGAATAGACTCTTTATATTTTAAAGGTAACTACTATTATTAATAGCTCCTTATTATAGAAATTATAATTTAATTCTAATTAAATTAGCTTATATAAATAAAAAAAATAGGTTATAGCTTTCTATCTAATTAAAGTTATATTATCCTTATTCTAATAGTATAGTCTAATATATCAGTTTTAATAATTATTTCCTTTATGAGGTTATATTATACTAAGATTAGTACTTTTATATAAGTTATTCCTTTAATCCTTTAAATACTACCTATTATTCTAGACCCTATTTAAATATATCTAATTTCTCAAGTAACTTAAATAGTGGCCCTATGATATAAAAGTAAAAATTAATAAATCATTAATAATAGTTAATTAGTCTATAAAACTATTATAGCTCTTTAAGGTTTTATAATATTAGCTAATCTCCAATTACTTATACTTTTATTTAGTTTATATAAATGCCCTCTATAGAGATCTAATAGCCTAAAAAGTCTATTTCTTATATATAAATTTTACACTTCTTAAGTTTTAGTCTTAATTTTATATTCTAAAGTTTTATAAGTGTTTTTATAACATACTTAATATATAGGTTCTATAGCTATTTATTATTAGGATATTTAACCTTTAAAAAAAGTACTTAAATATAAAATATAGTACTATATAGCTTACTATCTAGTTATATTACCCTAGGCTAATTAGTAATCTACTCTGTTAAAAACCTCTCTTTAATAAATATATTAACTAATCAGTATTACTAGTAGCATGCTAATAATATATATAGGTATATTTATATAAGGAGAGGTAGGGAAAGGAGTATTTTTAAGGCTAAATAGATACCTTATTAAATAAGATAGTAGTAATAGGTAAGAAAAAGATATAATATTATATTCATTTATATTATAATACTATAATAGCTACTATTATCCTATTCTACCCTATTCTTACTTAGAGGTATTAAAGGGGGGGGTATACCCTTATATAATATATCATTAAGATATCTTTAAGAGAGAAATAATAAGATAAATTACTTAAGAAATATAGTAGAGAGAGGTATTAAAGTCTAGAGTTTAGGATATAAGTATAATTCTTATAATATAGAATTTTATCTTTTACTACTTTTATAGTAAACTATTTAGCTCTTCTATATTTAAACCCCCTAGTTTATATTATTTCTTTTAGTAAAACTTATTAATCTACTAGATAATATATAATAATTCTAATATAGATAATCCTATATCTATAAAGTATATTATTTTAAGGGATAGAGTACTTTTTATTTACCCTTATAATATTAGAAGCCTTAA